TCCAGATCTCCTTCTGGGGTTACTTTGCTTTTTCTGAACAATCACAAACTCTCTCCACGATGTGATAACGCATGTAATTTCTCGCTTCCCCGAACGCCACATTCAGTTTCACTCACCAATAAACATCCCGATAATGGGTCAATGAGGCCTTTCGTACTAATACCCATGCATCAGCATCAAACAGCCACAATTCACCGGTCGAGCGGAGCCGCATCTTAGCGCAAGATTTACAACAGGGGCCATCACATCCTTTAGTCCAGAGACAGGGATTTGTTTACGGAGCTATCCCTCTCACAGTGAACTATCTATGTTATTGGATGCATTAATATCGTGTACGTCTAATTATTCTAGAAGCAAAAAAGGGAAATTGAGCGTCGGGTATATAGTGCGCCGCTGTGATCTAACCGTGAGGAGTATCCGTGAAGACAATCCAAATCTAAAATGATAGTTCAGAAAAGGCTCATCGAGAAGTTTTGAGCTATTCGGCGGGGAATGGCAGTGGTTCTCGCTTCAAGTGTCGGGTGGAACTTGACTCGCTCTCAAGATCATCGTAATCAGTACGATCCCGATTCTCCTTAACAACCTCGATCTGCGTAGTCTTAAAAGTTCTGGAAACCTGAATACCGTCTTCCTTCCTTTGAGGCAACTCAATATTGTCACCACCTGCTTCAATGAAGGTCTGGTTGTTGCCTGGAAAGACGGAGCCCATCTTCTTTCCAGTAGTTGTCTTTCCGCTCTTTTGACCAGAGCGAGATCGTGAATCGGAGTAATCGTATCCATTGGGGTTGCTGGCCTTGACGACCTTGGTGATGAGTTCAGCCATGTTCATCTCGATGTGAAGCTTAACGAGGTATGTGAGAGGATGGAATTGAAGGTAGACGATATCGTTGGGAAGAGACATCATTGCGATGAGCAGGACCTTGGTCTGTTAGTATGGATAAATGCAGCATGCAAGAAGTTCACTTACATCCATTGTCATCGAGACAGCAATCATGAACAGATTGACACGATATAATCGAGTATACTTGGTGAGACCGTTGGCGATAAGGCGAGATCGAACGAGGTAGATGAAGTAAAAGTTCAAACCAGCATCGACAATCAAGAAGATGCATTTCTCAACTCTATCCCAGACAGCATTGACTGCGATCCATTTGGGACTGATCTGCAATCTAGCGGGAATCCAGACACAGAAAACACTGATATTGATGGCGAGTAGAACAAGGAATACAATGAGTTTGAGCTTCCATGCATTATGCCGATTGATCATGAGGATCGAGATTCGGTTGATGATAATCTGTAGTAGCGACTGGATCTGAATAGCCCAAAGAAGGACTTGGTGTACGTTAGACTAGGTGAGATCGGATCCGATAATGGGTACATACCAATGACGAAGAAGACTGGGAAGCCAGGCGGAATGTATTGTCGCAGGTATAACCAGGTAATGGCACTCATAATCACACTGCTCGTCCATTCCATCCATACCAGGATGAGATAAATATTCGTCCTCGTCCCTCTCTTCCACGATTTGATCGTCTGCTTCGCAGCTTTCGTGCCCGCAAATATTGACACGCCTAGGGAGAACCCCCAAGCGATACTCGCAATGTTCATATCATTGGTACTCGGCTTATGAAACTCATAGTGATCTGACAACAAAAGACCACCCATCTTGACGGATTGGCGAACAAGGAATGTCGATGTAAAGAACGAGAATGCAGGGACTTTTTAGACGAGCATTCCTTGGTGCATATATTTGAAGAAAAAGGTGCACACGCTAGCTTGACTCAGGGGCCACGAGGAGGCGTTGCATCCGTTAGAGCGCACTCTTGCGTCTGAGCCTGGTCCTGGTTGCCTGGATGGGATGTTGCGCTTATGCACCGGGATACGGACCGCTGAAGATCCCTTATGTGGGAGGTTGCAGCCCAGTTGTCCGGATACCCTGAGCTCAATCTCTTTTGGGAGTGTTACGACTGCAAGGTACCCCGCGATGTGTGATGTTGGTTACAGACATGCATGTCCCCGGGTCAATGGAGCTGAACCAGGTCACTTGAAGATTGTATCATTGTTTGTAGCTCTACATTCTAAACAATTGATATATCAACATCTCGCTCTTGTTCTCGCCTTTCCCATCTTCTGGTAATGGCGGATTCGATCGTTTAGTTGAATCACTAATCAATATCTAAAAGTCATTCCTAATTATTACCATTGGCAGTCTCCGATACAAGACCCTAGACGAGTATTTGCTTTTGCGGCTCCGCATCTTAGCGTCCATCAACACCGGAAAGCCTGGAACAGAATCTCAAGAAATTAGTATTGATTGACTTGCACTACCTATGTAAAAGGGGCTTATCTATCGCAAATTCGAAAATGGTGGTGTTGGGATGATTAGAGACAGGATGAATTGACCCCGGACAGAAGGTAATAGACAGCTCTTGACTCAAGCCTCATGGCGTGGTGTTGTCAAAATGCCATGTGCTTATCCTGGTCAATGCTGAGCTTCGGCTCCGCGGTGGATACTGGCTTCAGCCCTGAGAGTGAGACGCGAGTCAATCTATCGAACCTTATTTCTTTACATAGTCCAGTTTGTTACAGATGTCGCTCGGGGAAAAGAGGGAATATTTGCGATACGAGATGTAGATCGCAATGTTATTTCCCTAGTCTGCGGCTCAGATAGAGTGTTTTGGGTTGGGTTTTGCGGCTCAGCCAACATCGTGAATGAAGCCAATCGGAACATTTGGACAAGATCCGGGTGCCATATCGACTAACACTCCAAAATTGGTAAGACTAAGTGAATCATAAGATTCTTGAACTTATAGTGCTTACGTTCTAAGTATTGGATATGATGTACCTCATCACTATGAGGCGACACTTGATGGCGTTGTTACCCAATAACCAAGACATGAGCTTTGCATATCTCGGCTACTTCATGTGCATCACTCTTGTAATTGAAGCAAATCACAAACAATCACGCTCACTTTCATTCAAGGTAGACACGATGTGAGAAGTCGGTGTTAAAGCCTTATCATTCAGATACTAGATTTCGCTGCATAATCCGTAACGCTTTAGTTACCCTTGACACGCTGGTCAGGGCTGCCATCTTTCTTCAGGCCACCGTGCTCAGTGGGCTTGTAGTCACCACCGCTGCTGTCGGAGCTTCCAAGGCCCTCGCCAGAGCCGGAAGTCTTTCCACCCTGCTCGCCGGCCTTGTGGGGGTCGACCTTGCCGTGAGCGAACTCGCCGGTGCCGACACGACCGTCAGGCTGACCGTCCTTGCGGAGGCCGTCGTGCTCTGTAGCTTGTTAGACATGATGATACGGTGGAGAGATGAAGGGAGATGTACCAGTGGGCTTGTAGTCAGACATGATGAAGTAGTTGTTGTTGGTGGTGGTAAAGGTTTGTGAAGTTGCTTGTGATAGTTGATGAGATTGAGTGTTTGATGATGAATTGGAAGCACAACTTGGAGATTTGTCCTTCTCTTATAAACATCAATCTTCTCATATTCATCGAGCAAACGGTGAGACATACGAGCTCATTGACGTCATGGATCGAATAGATCGAGCTGTTTGTTCTCTGTCCTTCACCGTAAGAATATTCGTAGATGTCATTGACTTTGCTTTGTTCAATCCGCAACGCAATGTCGCACAAGAAATTCACGGTCAAATATTGGTGATCGCCCAATGCTCACCCCGCATTCAGACTAGATGATGATGCGGTGTAACTAACAACAATAGCAGCCAAACCCGGGGTATGGGTCAATCAGCAAAGCAATTATCGTTTCAAATGGTCAACACGAATTATGAACTTGTCATTGATGAGAGAATGAAGTTAGACGATCTCATTCACGACATTAAGGGAGATGTTTGCATTGATCTACTAGTCCCAAAGCACTGTCGTTAGATCTCACAAGCAAACTTATGATGGCATAGACTATTTAGATCGGAGCCTCTGATTGGCCAGATCGAGCTGCCCGTGAAGTAGTCGCTCACACAGCCCTATTGTTAACCAGATTTTGGCGATCGCCATCCACCATGACATTTGTATGTCCGGTGCATTTCCTCCGGGTGGCTGACGTTCACCGCTAGACCGATTAGATTTATGCAAGCACTACAGCACAAGAGTTTATTCATAAGCGGCAACGGATTAACTCCGAGCAAGCTGTTTTGAGCCATTACTCGTGTGCGCATCTTTAGTTCGACGAGGCGCTGTGATCATGCCATTGTCGTCACATCTTTCTCCATCTACCCGGGACAGCGAGATACGCATGCCAACGCTGGTAACTTGAGGCCAGACGCCGAGATTTAAGCAGTTTAAAGGAATAATGATTCTTCGATGTCAATTGATTAACGCTTGGTGGCTTAATCTCTATGATGATGAAGTATTTGCCGGCGAAACCTTGGTGCAACTGCTCAGGCTGCAGCACAGCACACCTTCGACCTCATTATGTGATAGCCTACAAAACAGCAATAATATCGGGTTCTACCTACAAAGACCACTGCACTTAAAATACAACACTTATTTTTGACAAGATTTTATCGTGGCGTGAAAAGATAATGATGTTTTGGAAGCATCCGTATGAGCTTCGTTTCGAGAAACGAGAAGTATCATATCTTAATGCTACCTGCGCATGCTTAACTGAATGTCCGTACTACATACAATCAATTCTGCCTACAGAACATCGTTTCACTCTACGCTAAACTGTCGATGAATCCGGCGAAATTTAAATATGCGTTAATCCCAGCGACTTTTGATCATGTGAGAATCATGCGAATAACCTCACTCGACTTCTCGGTTTATCGTGAGATTGCGGCTGAAGCTTGGCATTTTGATGAGCCAATGACCCAAGCTGATTGATTGTTAAGCGCTGTGAGAGAACACTTTCAACCCATCAGCCAATTGGGCATCCCATCTCAAACGATCCCTGTCAGCTGAAAACCGGTTTCAGTACCCCTCGCTCGAGAATCTCACTGTCGCATATCAAGAGATTATGGGCATCTCATAATACCATGGACCCTTTATCGATAGCGACAGGTTGCGCTACTCTCATTTCAACCATAGGGTCCCTCTCACTGTCCATCAACACCTTTGTTCGCACTTGTCGCGAGGCTCGGAGTGATCTTGACAGGGTGGCCCGTGAGCTGCTCTCTCTACAAACAGTCCTTGACCTTATCCAGGAAGACGTGGCTGATGAGAGCAAGACATTTCCTACGACTCTCGAACGCCACGTCTCTGGCATAATAATCAACTGTAACTCGGTGGTCGTAGAGCTACAGGAGATTATCACGAAATATGGCGGCGATAGTCGACTCAAATCCAAGGCTGGTTGGGCTATCAACGGACAAGGAGATGTCTCAAAGTTGCGCTCAAACTTGTAGGCTCATAAAGCAGCACTCGATTTGGCCCTAGATATGCTGTCACTGTAAGTTTCCCCCCAAGTACTAGGACAAGTTGACTGACAGACAAAGACACGTTACCAAGGAGATAAAAAACGACACATCTGAGATCCGGAATGACACATCAGCAATAAAAGATGACACAGCGCAAATCCTGGAAGAAATACTTCGCCTTCAACAACGGTTGCCAAAGCAAGGAGGAAACGACTACATACTTCAGAACTTCCTTGAAGCGATGACGACATATACTGAGAAGGCCTTGGATGGCGCATCCATCGACGGGGGGGATTCCAGCACAAAAGCGCCGTCTTTTGTCCTTGAGACTGATGAAGGGAGCCAGAAGCCTTCCAATCCTACTCATCCCTCGGACTGGAAATCGGATTCCGCAGCCAGTGACCTAGTCTCATACAAGTCGAAGAAGAAGAGATCGGAAGAACAACAGCACGAAGAAAGGTTGGCTGAAGCAAAACTGAAAGATGTCCAACGGTCGCTCGAGTCTACACAACAACAACCGGCCGCTTTCAATCACGCAGGTCATCGGGAACCTTCCGAGGGAGATGATGAACTGTGGTCAGAACTGCCCAAGTCTGCTTATATTGAAGATTTCGAGAGGTCTCCAGTTGAGAGTGAGACAGAATGGTGGGAGAAACAGCAGAAGCAATGACAAGCTTCCGCACATCATGCAGGTCATCAAGAGCCTTCCGAAGAAGGCGATGACCCGGGGCCAGAACTGCCCAAGTCTGCTTACATTGAAGATTTCGAGAGGTCTTCAGTTGAGAGTGTTGAGAGTGAGACAGAGTGGTGGGAGAAAAGGCAAAAGGAGTGGCAAGCTCTCGCAAACCAGTCATCTTATCCCGAAGTTGAGCGTTCAACGACACCAGTCCAGTCTACTCCATCACAGGATGATGGACAAAGAGACGCTGGAATGCGTCATCCACAGCACACAAGAGTGTCTGAGAGGTCGAGATCTCAGGTCAAATCGAACGAAACCAGTCAAGCCGCCCAGAAATGACACCTCATACTCAGCCCTACAATAAATTGTAGTGATGATAAACGCTCTAACGATTACGGAAAGAAGTTGTCAGCAACACCAGACAACTACTACATGGAGATCGAGAGATATTACTATAGATTATTGATCAGCTGGCCCATGCCAACCGCGATCACTGACCTCCTGTCGGAAGATTACGCCATGGAATCCTCCTGGAATAGCTTCACAGCTTTGACGTGCACAGCACAAGAGTTTCCTTTCCTGAAGGACGTTTCCCAAGCCCTGCGACCCATGCGAATTCCGAGGCCCAGAAACATTAAAATTGTCTTCTATATCCCTGTGACTACCCAGACTACGTCTTCTTGCTTCCAACGCCAGTGGGAATTTATCAATATTGCAGTTGCTGGATTAACATGGCGTCTAGAGCTGGGTGGAGATGTCCCGCCGCCATGGCACAACATCATCATTGTCGTCGAGGGACCTCCGAGATGGGACGGGATTAATCCTGAGATTGAGGTTATTCTGACAGAGCTGGGAATACTTTATAAATCAGATAACTTGGTTGCTAGAGTTGACGGCGTGGAGTTAGACCCTCCTTATCATAAAGACCATTGCAATGTCGGTGGCCAGATAATCTTTTGGACAATACACGAGGTTCGTTGATTACTTCAGGAAGAACCACGCACTTCTCATTCTAACGTCTCGATAGTATACAGTGCCGCCAACGATCCGTCCCCAACATGCCTGTACCAAGAACATTATGGGCACGGAACCACTCCAGGTGATTGCAGTAGCACCGCAGTGGTCTCCATTAGATTGGACATCTCACAAACCAGCCCTTCCGCTTAACTGGGCTGCAGCTGTTTGCGAGGTCTTGAAGCCAGAGTTCATCGTGTCTCTGCCAGAACATCAGATCAGGGATATACCGTCCCCTGGGGAGTTTCTTAAGGGCGTATGGACTTGTCAAATACGGTTCAGAAGGTCAAAAAGCCCGAAAATCAACCAATGTGTCTTGACTTCTCCCGATCAGTTCCAGGCGGATCGCAAAAAGATGATCACACGTGCAGAAGGAGCCCGAGGGTTTGCTAGAAGGCTCTTTGGAAAGTCTTGATTGATTATTTGCTGCGAATGTACCATTTGAATTTGTTGAAATCTTAAACACTCACAATTAATCCTGCTTTCTTCCAACGATACCGCCCTTCTTCAAACCAAGCCATACTACAATGGTGACAGTGCTACAACTGGCAAAGATGGTCCAAAACGCAGCCCTATAACCTTTCATTAAAGCCTCTTGGCGCTCCGTGATATTTGAGTGCTCTGTAACTGAAGCAGCGATCGCAGCAGTGATGGCTAAACCGACTGAATTACCGAATTGAGCTACTTCGTTGAAGACGCCACCAGCGAGGGATTGCATCTCTGGGGGATAAGCGTCGGAAATTACGAGGTTTGACACCGTAAACAGTACTATTTTATGTTAGCTTGACCAGAGCTTGGCCATTGGGCTTACCATCTGGGTTGACGGGTGAAAGGAACATGGCCCAAAACGGAGCAAGCCAGTAATTCTCACCGACATCAACGGTCGCCATCAGAGGTGCAGCTACCATTGTCACGAGTGCTGAGACAACAGCTAATGTGCGAACCTTGACTTTGGCAATGAGCAAGCCAGTGATGATGTTGACCGCTACACCCATGATGACATGAGGCAGAAATCTGAGGGAACTTTCTAGAGCCGACAGGCCCTCGACCTTTTGGAAGCTACGAGGCCAGCGTTAGTAATTGATCGAATTCTTATCTAAGGGACTCACTATAGCGTTGTGAAATACTCGATACCGTTCAGTGAAGCCCAACACAAGAAGACAGCGATGCAAACAGATGTGAAAGACCGGTTCTTCCAGAGGCTGTTGGGTATCAAGGCTGGCTTCCCACGCTTGACCTGATAGTCCATCCAGAATGGAAATGCAGCCAACAAGATAATTGCGACTGTTAGTAGGGCAATGTTCTGGGGATCGTCAAGTCTCTTGTACGATGATGAGATCATGGCAAGGACATAGAGCAGCATGCCGAGTGCAACACTCATGGTAGTTGCTCCAACCCAGTCAATCTCATGCATCAAGCGAGTCGTCCACTTTCGCTCTGATGGAGTATACACAGAGGGAAGCGACCAGATCGCGCCTGTAGATAGACAAAAGTTGATGATTGCACTCATGTAGTAGGCCCATCTCCAGCCGATTGTATCGGTGAAGATACCTCCCAGAACAAGGCCGAGAGCGTAACCAAGAGGACTTCCCATGCCGTTGATCGCAAACGCGACGTTCCTCCAAGGTCCCTTGGGGAATGTATTAGCTATCAGGCTGACAGCAGTGGGCAAGCACATCGATATCGAGGCTCCAAGCAGAGTCCGGAAGAGTATGACCTGAATGCCCGTCTGAGCAAGACCAACAGCCAATGTGAAAGCGACAAAGAGAAAACTCCCCGTAACCCACATCAACTTGGCCCCGACGACATCTGCGATGGCACCAAAGATGAGTAATAGGCATCCTGCTGCGAGCGCATAAACCGCTGCGGGCCAGAGGATGAGGTTCTCAGAGAGGCCAACATCGTCAGCGATCTTGGGAAGCGCAGCGATGAGAATGCCTGAGCCCATGGTGTTGAGAAAGCTGATGCCCGCAAGAGTGACGATGACGATTACACCCCTGGTCTTGGATATCCCGAGACCACTCGAGTCCTTTGCTCTGGGGGCATTTTCTTCTTCTGGGGCTGGAGGGTTCAACTGCGCGTCGCTGCCGTTGTTGGTGCTGGCTTGATTGGCTGTTCTTAGTTTGGCCTTGGGATTGAGGGGTTCCAAGGGAATGATGCCGCCGTGGATTGAGGCAGCGCCTGTGTCCGTGGTGATATCGAAGCTGCGATCCATTTTGCGCTGTCGCACTGCACTTAGATGATGTACACGCCAGTTTGAAGTCGAGATAAGCTCTTTTAAGTAGTATCTAAGGTCGCATCAATTGGTGGTAAGCAGCGTCATAGTTCAGTCGAAGGGCGCGCTTCAGGCTGACAAATGACATCAGTTTACAGGGTTCGAAGAGCTCAATTGGATCTGCCGCAGATGTAAGAAAATCGCCAAGCATTCTTTGACTCTATTATAGCACCGTCATTTATGAGAGCTCGATAGCAAATCATACCCGCGCCAGTAAACTGCGAAATGATTTGGTGGCGGAGGCTGTTTACGTTGGCTCAGTGCTGAAGCTTCAGTGAGTGATCCATCTAGAAATGGGTGACCTGCTAAGGGACCATTAAAGCCAGTCAAATGCCTTAATCAGTATCGCGACAGACACTTCTATTGTCGGACAAACAGGCACAAAAGATTGCTAAAGAATACAGCTTTTTATTCTTCTATCATACGACAACTGATAATGGACAGTAGCGCGAACAATCTCGACTATGGATATATGCTAACAACAAAACAATACACCTTACGCCTTCTTCAGCGAACCAGCAAGTTGCCCAACCTCGACACCGTTAATCTCTTCAGTAGCCTCGTGCTTCTCCTTCCACTCCTCAACCAATCCCTTGAAATCAGCAGGGAGATAAGGCGAAGTAAGTTCCTGGAAGCGGCTTCCCTTGCGATGTGTCTCAAGTCCCATATCCTTCATAAGCATGTTGCAATAAGGCAGACCCTCGAATACAAGATCAGGAAGATCAGCACCGTAACCACAAGGGTATCGCCACTTGCCCCATTGGGTGTGAAGCATAATCTCATCAGTAATCTCCTTGTCGGATGTAGGAATGCGATCGATCTTGCCGGCGAGGAAAGCAGCGATCCAGTGGCCTTGGATGGTTGCGCATGTAGCTGTGCTGACGGAGGAAATCATGCCGGCGAAAGCCAAGTCACGGGTCTTGACCATGCCGGAGGGAATCATGAAGCGGTAGTAGCGAAGAGGGTTGGCTTCCTTGGGCTTGACGTTGAGTTCTGGTTGGTTCTTGAGGCCGGGGTAGAGAGAGAGGACCTTCTCGTCGGCGGCTTGGGCCAAAGAGCGCTTCTTCTCGGTCGAGTAGGGAAGACCAAGCTCATCTTCTGCGAACTTGATAGTAGACTCCTTCTTCCAGCCAGTTGAGCAGATAATAGCATCGGTGTCGATAACATTACCGGAAGCAAGGACAGCTCGGTTAGGCTCCAATGACTCAATGTCATCGATGTGGACTCTGATCTTGCCCTGCTTAACAAGATCAAACAGAGGGCTGTCGTAATTCAGAATACTAAGTCCACTACCGATCCAGAAGGCAGAGTGCCAAGGTTTGAGCTTCGCAAGCTCGGGATGAGAGTCGTAACCAATAGCACCAGTTACATCGTTGCTAAGGGCCTTCCAGAAGTTGCTAACGAGGAATCGGCCGACAGAAGTTCCATGGAGGAAGTTTCGCACAGTAGGGAAACCGTCTTCTTGACCCCAAGGGCAGGGACTGAACCAAGTCATCCATCGAATGTTCAACAACTGATCAAGTCGCTTCTTGAGAGGCGTGACGAAAGGAGGAGCAATCCAAACTGGTCCGTTTCCTGTAGGACGAACAACCAAGTCGACTGTCGCGCCATCTTGAACCAGAGCATAAGCAACATCAAAGGCAGACTTAGCACCACCAACGACAATGGCCTTCTTGACGTTCAGGTTGGGAGCCTCTTTGCAGAAGTCCTTGGCGTGGAAGAGAGGAGCACCGAACTTCTCAGCGTTCTTGTACTGGGGCATATTCGGTGTCGATGTAAGACCAGTAGCCAGCACCAATCTCTCGGTAGTGATACTTTCTGTTCCCTCGGGGGAAGTAACACTAACTCTCCAGCCAGCATCGCCATTTCGCTCCACCAAGTTCACAGAAGTGTTGAACTGGATTCGGTCGTGAAAGTCGTAGTGCTTAGCAAAGTCGGTGAGATATCGGTGGAGGACTGTTCCGGGGATGTGGCTGTTGGGCTTGACGCCGTATGTCTTCTCAGCCATGGGAAAGTCGGGGAATTCGTATGTGCCCTTCATGTTGTTGGACTTGAGACCGGGATAGAGACGGTTCTTGGACCAGGTGCCACCGCATGACTCGGCAGACTCGAGGACGGCGAGATTGGCGTGGGGGCTTATTTGTCTGATGGCTTTTGCGGCGGCCAGACCGAACCATCCTGACTTGTTAGTTGACAATGTCTCTGAGAGGAAGAGCGAGATGCTTACCGGCGCCTACAACCACGACATCATATGATTTAGTCATATTGTCTTGACAAAGATGGAAGAATGAATGTTGAGAGGTAAAAGGCAAGATCGTGTATCCTCTATTAGTTAAAAGAAGCAAGTATGATGATGCAGACAGCCAAGGGGGCGAACGACGGGCTTTCTATATCTATCCAACCACAGGCGTCGGGTATCCCCAAACGTCAGTTTCACTCCAAAACCTCGTCTAATCTCCAACTGACACTCAGCTGAACCCCTAGAACAGCCCAACAACGTGTCGGAACGATATCTCAACTGCTGTAGAACTGTCGTAAACAAGGAATGCCGATAACACTAGCTTGGGTTCTACCCCAGATTCGACGTTCCGTCACCCTTATTCCGTCTCCACGTATCAATTGCCTTATCTGGGGTAAATCATGGCTACGGAACGACATGATGGCTTCAATAGGTGTTCCGAACCCTGTAAATCATGAATCTAATCCAAATTAGTGACGCAGGAACAGATATGACTCGCTGAAGTCGACTCGGTTATCATGTCTAGCTCCAAAGACTAACAGCGCATCGTGCGCCCACGGACTTTCCGACCGGAAGTTCCGTAGTTGAAGCGTTTATCTCAGATCTGCGATAAGGCTTGTCAAAAGCGGGGTCCGCGATAACCCCTCGTATCATAATCTGGGGTTTACCAATCTTCGGCAGAGTTCCGCTCTACGTACTTCACATTCTAATTTACTATCTATATATTGTTTCTTCAAGCAACGCCTAGGCTACCATTTACCCCGAGACTCAAAAATCAACCAATCAATTTTCACAATGTACGCCGACATTTCAAAGCCTCCTGCTCCTCTTCCCCAGGCCAAGCCTGAGACTGTTGGTGAGGGGATTACTCTTCTGCCTCCACTTTCAAGACGTGGTCATGGACCTGGTCTTGTTATTTTGAGTCCTGACTCAGAGAAGCATTTGGAGATCATTGAGGGTGTTCCTTCTGCTCTTTTGAAGTGGGCTGAGGAAGGGTATGCAGTTGTTGAGATACAAGCAAAGGCGTTTAAGAGAGATGCTGGTGAGGTGTTGAGTGATGCTTTGAAGGCTTTGAGGGGTTGTGAGCAATTGGAGAAGGATGTCAAGATTGGGCTTATTGGTGAGTGCTCTCACGTGTTGATCGGTGACGTGATACTAATTCTCCGATAGCATATGACCCCAAGCTTTGGAACCAGGTAGCTGGGTCAGTCAACAACTCCGGCCTAGTAGGTGCAGTGATCTACGCCAATGATGCAGATCTCGCAACTCTTGAAAAGTCCAGCATCCCCATCCTGCGCCATATTGCAGGCCGCACAGCCATCATCGAGAGAACTGATGGCCTCACAACATACTCATACTCCAGCGCAAAGTCTCATCTCATGGCAACGCCATTCCAAGATGATTTTGACTACTGGACTGAGTCTCTATCGCACACAAGAAATTTGACTTTCCTGAAGCCGCTTACCAATGGCCCTTACTTTGATCTTGAGGCTATCTGGGATGAGCATACTTATTATGAGTTTGCGGACCGCTCTGTTGAGCACACAATGAGTACTATGGTTGACCAACCATACGTAAACCACGTGCCTACTGTAAGTTCACATCAGGTTTTGAACATCTAATCCGGATTGGGATACTTACATTGGTTTAGCTCACCGGTGGCATTGGCCGCAAGTCGCTTACAACTTTCTACCGCGATAACTTCATCTTCCAAAACTCAGACGACACAGAACTCGAACTCATCAGCCGCACAATCGGTATTGACCGCGTAGTCGATGAATTCCTCTACAAGTTCACACATAACAAGACAATTGACTGGCTGTACGTTACCTCACCCTCACTTCCTACTACTTCCACTAACGTCCCAGACTTCCCGGCGTTCCACCAACCGACAAGAAGATGGAAGTCCCCTTCACAGCGGTCGTGAACATTCGCGGCGATCGTCTCTACCATGAGCATATCGCATGGGATCAGGGCACTGTTCTTGCTCAATTGGGCTTGATACCGCAGTATCTCCCCTTCCCCTATCCTGTTGCAGGACAGAAGGAGGGTGCCAAGTATGAGTATCGTGTGCCTGTGACGGGTCTTGATACAGCGGCGAAGATGAGGGATAGGAATTCGGTGGCTTCGAACGAGATGTTTAGTTACAAGGTTCGGGAGGTTTAATTAGTGTAGCATTTTGATCCTTCATTAGCATTAGTTCGGCGTTAATTGATTTCGTTACAACACTAAAGTGGCTTTCTTCCCGCGGGTAGTATTCGGTCCCGACTCCCGAGATATGACGACAACTTTGCCCCACTCGGGGTCTTGAGGGCCAAGAGTCGCGTGCTGTTGAGCCTCAACAGCAGTGGAGGAATGATAGCCAATTGAATCAGTGTTGTTGTATAACAAAAAAGAAAAATCTGTATAAGACGATTGGCTTATGAATCTTGAAGTTTCTGACATGTCAAATCACAAATGCTTCGGGGTGATGACGAGAGTTGTATTATTCTGTCTACTGTAGTAGCTTGGTAACCGAGCCTTGAAGCGCAAAGAGATGATGGCGGAATGATCTTGTCCTACAGCAACAATTACGACGTCCTTACCAATGATTTTAAGGCATTGCCACCACAAATGGCTATGAGGCGTTTATGTTTCCAGCTGAGCCCTTTTTCTTGCATCTCTCGACTCGGCCATGCCGTCAAATGTGATAAACTGAATCATCTACCCTGAACCCTTCTAACCAACCAACGCCGCGGGTGGTCTTCCGAAACCGGGATGGAACGATAAGGGTCTTTCAAACCGATAATGTCTGATTGGCCTCATACCGCTCATGTAAGCCGTTGGCCACCGCCTAAACCGCATCGATAGAATTTCGCTACTTATCTCCGCAGCTAAAATGATGGGAGATAAGAAGTAGAAGCTTAGTCTCGCCGATCTCAGTCTAGTCAGGTTTACCCCGCATGGGTCCAAGGTGAAGACCGACGCTAGTCAAGATTGACCCAAGATAAATAATCAACGCGGTGTTTCTTCACCTTTTGCCCCCGAGTTTCCGCCTTTCTCACCTCTGACCCGACTTCCGACATAATCGAATGAATATTGAACGAAACTACAGACTAAATTGACTGGCTATACTGGGATACTCATCAACGCGACGCGACAAAGGGGGCACGCGGAACCCCTGTTTTAGCCATGGCCCAGGCACGTGAAACCAAAGGAGTCAAAAAGTCCAGCACTTCAACCGGAGAAACCGGAAAACGGAGGACACCATACGCTCTGCGCGCATGCGACGCATGTAGACGACGAAAGGGAAAATGCGACGGGCGACAACCGTGCAGACACTGCTCAAGCCGAAACCAGAATTGCAGTTACAGCAGCAGTCTCGAGAACAATAGCTCCAGTCTTGACAGTGACGATTGGCACCCCGCCACAACGACAGCAGCGCCTCCAGCGCCTCCAGCGCCCGCCATCACTGACCCGATACCTGCGACTGCGAACCATGACTGCGCGACTTCGGGGACTTCATGCCAGACGAACCAGGCTGCGATTGTCGATATGCTCTCTAGTCTTCAGGAGCAATTGAATAGTTTGGCGTCGCAAGTTCAATACTCGAGTAACCAGGAACAAACAAATCTTCCGTCGCCAATGACAATGATTGCTGCGACACGACCCCGTGACCATATTCCAAGCACGAATCCCAATACAATACCCATCATCAGTCACAGTTACACTGAATCCACCACCGATGATCAGAGCTCAACGCCAAAATCCTCTCGAACAACCGCCTCTCAACATTTTTACGGCCCAACATGTCCAGACTACGCATTGAACGTGGGACAATTAAAACTCCGACGGAACAGCTACCCTGGTCCACCACTTCAACAAAAGCAATTACAACTTGCCAGTATTCACGAAGACGACGCCTCCGATGAGGCGGATCAGAACTATGGGCAAAATACACAATTTTCCGTATCGCCGCGCACAATCGACAAAGGCGACCCAGCTATGCTTTTGACATTCCGCTCGATTATGGGTTTGCAAGAGGCCACTCAGCTTTTATACATTTATCAAGAGGTTGTCGGTGAACTTCATCCTGTGGTTGATATTGATGCGCTCATTATGCAGACGCGGTCGTGGTATGCTGAGGCTGATGCTGGAATTTGGGATGTTCTGGCGTCGAGCACGGGAGCTGCTACTTATGAATTACTGTTGATATTGAACTTGTGCTTGGCTATTGCGCTGAGGGCTGATGGGAATCCCTCGAATTCGAATACGGAGACTTTGCTGCGGGATAGCTTTCAGGACGCTGTCAATGCGAAGCTTGCTGCGCCTGCTAATAGCATCCAGCATGCGACCATCATATTCCTCAAGGTATGCAATTACCATGCCTCGAAATGAGAACTCTACTAATGGAAACAGGGCTGGTATGACTTCTTCCAAGAGATGCCTCGCTCAGCTTGGCGCATGTGCGGCATCGCTGGTCGTATGCTGATGGAACTCGGTCTTCACAACGCCGAGGTCTTCAGACATACCGTCAAGACCGAGGCTCAACGCACAGAAGCCTGTACTCTGATCAGCAGTATTGTCATCCTCGATCGACAATGGAGCTATGCAACTGGTCTACCAACACACTTCCAAGACAAGAGCTTCAGCTCCATGTCGACATCGTCCGTCAAGAACCCATATCTCAAAGCCATGCTCTCCTTCATCCTCATAAGCGATCGTTTCAGCGAACCTATATCCAACGCCGCAAAAGGTGAAGGCTACAACGATGAAAATTCATTTGAGCTCATGAGCTTTCAGATTGAGCAGTGGAGAAAGAAGGCCGTTGGTGATTACACCGTTGCGAATTGTCAAACATGGCATACAGACCCGTCGACCCGTCCGCCAACATGGACGATCTTACTAAATCTCCGAGCGGAATCCGTTCGGAGTCAACTTCTCAAACCCTTCTTCTTTTCAGAGTTGGATATTGAGATTACAAAGAATCACGTTCGATCAGCTACTGATCGAGTTTACGATATCATCCATGTTTTGCACACGCTTGACGCGACTACGGATATCTACCGCAAACAACATCCATATTACCAGCATATTCTCGCATGCACCGCTGGTCTAGCATTTCTGCTCATCGCTTTCATAAAGCAAAACAGAGCAACAATGCTTCCAAGCCTGACCCCCGATCTTATCGAGTCTCTCGGTGGTAGTTTCAGCATGTGTGTAACGCTCACAACAAAATACACGCACCGCTCGCGCTCCGCACGTCGTCTCGCCAAGCGTCTTATCGAAATGCGACGAAACCTTCTCAGCCTAGGAATTCTCAACCCAACGAGCCCAGGAAGCCACGAAGGTCTAGATAACGTCACAGAGTCAATCAGGAGAGCGAGTCTTGCACAGCCAGTTGGAGATTTCCAGCCTTATGCCGAGTACTCGCCGCCTTTTAATAACGGGGTCGTTCCCGGGGGGTTTGTGGCTGGGACGGTAATTTCGGATACGGATATGCAGATGGGCTGGGAGGATTCGCTAAGGTTGCAGTGGCCTATTGGGGATGTTAATCACATGTTTTCGGAGAGCATATTTTGATATTGATTAGCGTTAGTAATGACTTATGATGATTATGATCCCGTACCCGATGATTTGCTTGCTGTTCCGTATGATGGTGAAGATAGCGGGTATGGGGTTCAGTGACGGATCTGGGCGCTTTGCCGATTCCGGGTGCGGTATCCGCTTCGCGGGCCGCTGGTCAGCTGTAGGCTTATCACTTGAGGCTCAAGGCGGGAAAGGTATCTCGAACATCTGATAACAAATGGCTTAGCTATCAATGGTACCAGTTACAGTTGGTAATAGCTTACGATAGTCATATGTTGAGTGATACAGCGTCAAGATCAAGACTCGTTCCGACTGTCCACCAATGATGCAGCTGTATGTGATGATCATGCAGTTGAAGATGAAGGTTACAAGTTGGATAAATAATGCTTGGGGACATAAATGAACTCAATTTAATATAATTCTCAACGCTAAAGTCAACCTAGTTGTTCTCATAACTAATCAATCCATCAATAGTACCAGCATGTAATCCACCAGTGATCGGAATATCCGCCGCAGTAGTATGTCTCGCCGCATCACTCAGCAAGTAAATAACCGCCCCCGTAAGATCATTCTGTGTACTCAATCTCTGATTGGGCGGCGCCAACCACATCTGCTCTCCCTCCCTCTTACTCTTGAGCTCACGAACAGTCCTCGTCATCTCAGAGTCCACGAATCCTGGGGAGATCGTGTTGACTCTGATACCCTTTGGTGCTAGCTCAACGGCCAAGGCTTTGGAGAGCATGAGGATACCGCCCTTGGAGGCGTTGTATGCCGCCATGCGGTAGCCGGGAAGGCCGATGTGTGCGGATTGAGAGGCGAGGAGCACCATGCTTCCGCCTGTGCCTTGCTTGACCATCTGGCGGGCCGCAAGTTGAACCACGAAGAATGTTCCCCGTACCTATCCCCATTAGTTTAATCCATCTTGGCAGGCCGGATAACTTACATTGATGTCTTGAATGCGGGTAAACTCCTCCCAAGTCTGATCCAGGAACGGCTTATCAATAGCGATACCCGCAGCGGGTACAACACCGTCAATAGTCTCAAACTCCTTCAGCACCTTGTCGAAAGCCGCATTGATGCTCTCCTGTGACGTAACATCCGTTTGGATGTAAACAGTCTTGGCAGAGAACTTCTCACTCAAAGTGTTGAACTCGGCAGTAGGTTCTTTCTGGATATCTAACACAGCGACATTGCCGCCCATCTCACAGATAGCTCTCGTGCAAGCGAAACCAATGCCTTGAGCTCCACCGGTGATGATGTAGTTTCGCCCGCGGAGCTCAAACATGGGACGGACATCTTGGAGAGCGTCTGTAGCCATATTGATCGAGTGGGTATAATTTGAAGGTAGTAATAGTGTGATAGTCAGTTATTCTGTATAGATTGAGCGTATTTGATGACAGTATTCCTTATAAATGCCGTGGCTACATCATCTTATCGGCTCTTTACTTATCATCTGCTGAACGATTGCCGACCCCGGAATGTGGATAGTGACCCACCTTCCGGCCTTCGGAACGGTCGCGGACCATTCCGTTTATAGCAAAGGTCCAAGCTGAACCAAGTTGTGATCATGGGACTGATTGCTATCAAATAACTGATTAGGATTTCGGGAAATATCGTATTTATGCATGCTCTATTGTTCCATATCTTATCGTGGTAATTGTGATCCTCAACGACGTGACTCCATCAGCCGAAATCGATATCGAAAATGGCTTCTCATCCTCCTGCTGCGTGCTGCACTATCGCCAACCTCCATGAGTAAGTAACTCTCAAAATCTACCAGTTAATCTTGTAGACTAAACCGTCTTAGGGGTAATCCCAAGGGAGATATTGTCGAAGTCGGCAATGTCACCGGATACCTAGCAAAGCCAGCCAAGGAGTCTAAGCAGGCTGTTCTATACCTCCCAGACATCTTTGGTATCTGGCAAAACAGCAAGCTAATGGCCGATGCCTTCGCTGCTGAGGGTTACACATGTCTTGTTGTTGACACCTTCAATGGTGATCCAGTGCCATTGGAGATGCCTGAGGGCTTCGACATTATGAAGTGGCTTGGTGAGGGCTCTGATGGAAAGAACCCCCACACGGCGGAAGCTGTGGATCCCATCGTCGTGTCTGGTATTGAGTACCTCAAGAGCATTGGCGTTACTCAGATTGCTGCCGTTGGGTACTGCTTAGGAGCCAAGGTTCGTTTTATACCCGAGCGTGAATACTTGAAGATAGCTAACAACTCACAGCACCTCATCCGTCACTACAAGGATGGCATCAACGTTGGTTTCATTGCCCACCCATCCTTCGTTGAGTCAGAAGAGTTGGCGGCCATCACAGGCCCTCTGTCCATCGCAGCCGCAGAGCTCGATGACCTTTTCACAGTAGAGAAGCGTCACGAGAGTGAAGAGATCCTGTCCAAGTCAAAGCAGGACTTCCAGATCAACCTATTCTCGGGAGTTCACCATGGCTTTGCCGTCAAGGGAGATATGAAGGACAAGAAGCAATTGTTTGCCAAGGAGCAAGCTTTCAGCCAGGCGGTGTCTTGGTTCAAGAGACATTTCGAGTAGAAATAGAATATACAAGTTTCCGATACAGCCAAAGTCTGCAGCAACGACCTGCGAATCGAAAGATTATAAAATGCTGATGATAGACTAACAGGCTGAGCCCACAGTGAGAGTCCTATATTCCCAGTTCCCGATGAATCAATCATGATCAATAAAGTCTCCCCAACATGCTATTTGCAAAAGTTTGGCAAGGTCTCCGTCGCGTTGGCTTCAGCACATGCGATTGCCAAAGATAACTCATATGACTTGATGGATACATCAAGCGACTTGACACTAACATCCAGCGCCTTCTTAGCGAGTACCAAGCCAGCAACGCCAAAGACGATGCTGATAACAGTGAGTAACAAGACCACTGACGCAGCCCAGAAGGTAGAGTACTCGAGAAAATTACTCCTGTCAGGTCTCAGGCGCAACTGGGACCAACCGCTGGGTCCTTGTTCCCATACATTCAACAGGTGTGAGAACTCCGTATCCCAATGTGAGAAGTCTCCAAGCGATAATGATCGCTCGCGGCCAAAAGGAATCTTGAGGAACTTTCTTCCTTCTCTGGATAAGAATGCCTTGGTGTCCTTATCATCCGGGAAGAGCAATTTGATTGTGTCAACTGCTTCCTGTACAAATTGCTTTGGAAGTGGACAGTCATCTGGGTAAATAAGGTGATTTCGCAAGGCAATGGCGTGCTCAAAGATTGTAATTTGCTTGTATTCCCAGTCTATACTGAGGTGCTGTGTCAGATCGCTTGTCCACTTCACTTGGAAGCCATAGTAGCGTGTAAGGTTCGCAATCGAGAAGCTCTGAGAAATCTGTCGAGCCTCGACATCCGTCTTTCTTCCTGGCGGATACCAGTCTTGTATCATTAGGCTTAATGGCATGGCCTTTGGCCACTGAAAAGAACTTGCTGAGCCAGACGTTGAATGCTCGATATGGACCATTAGCCAAATCCTTATTGCCATGTCGGCTGATCTCATAGTTTCATCTGACGAGTTGGTGAATAACTCGGACTTTTTCTTGTAGACATGCTGTCGAATTTGATCGATAATAGATGCGAGTTCGTTAATAGACTTCGTGGAATAAAGAATCGACTTCCGTTCAATCAAGCTCATTTGCTCATCCAAGAATAAGAAGTATTTGTCGTATAGATCTACATAGGTATCAAAGTTGCTTCGAGTCATGCGTGGCCATATCTTATTGAATTGCATATTTTTCATCGCTGTTCAGCTCTTGGATAGCCATTATGTTGCAGTTGCGATGCGAGATAAGTCGCAAGATGTTTTGATAGTTGGTATCGTACTGGGCCTAAAGCTTTCGCAAGTGAGGATGTCACCGAATAAAATTATATGCAAATTGAGACGAGGTGTAGATGCTGCTGTCCAAGTTACTGGAGAGTGCTCAAATACTGTACTCGCTAACTGAGACAGAAACTGAGCTCCCTCTTAGTCACATCCAGTCAGTCTGCCTCTACAAGCCACAAACCACGTTATGCAGGCAAAACTGGTTTGGGTGACTGTTGTGTACTGGAATATGAGTTCCAGCGTGACCGTGGCTTGCATAATGAACCAGGGTCCTAACCAATAACAGGGTGCTAATGTCTTGCTTGGCTGCTAGGCTCTCTGGTCAGCTTTTGCTGCGGCTGAGAATCCCAAACCCCCGCCCCAGACCTTCTCTCAATCTCGCATAGCAAGGGCTTCCGAAAGAAAATCGCAGATGTCTCCTTGTTATGCTAAGAATGACATCCACTTCATCCGAGACCGACGTATTCACTACACCACAAACGAGTCCATCACCGATAGCAACATGCCAACTACCTAGCCATGTTTCTGTGCAGCCCGGATTTCTCGACTTAGAATTCGATGAATCTCGATTTTCCTTTCCAAACAAGGTCAGGGGTATCTGTTGTTCGGCCAAGAGCGTCTGTTATTCCAATTGTCACTGGCCCGAGCAACCTGAGCACAAGTACCTCTTTGATCAAGCATCAGGAACGTGGGAGAAGCTTGAGCCGGAATTCAAAAGGATATGGAATAAGACATGGAAAAGATCCCGTACAGTTGTACTATGCAGGGCCGAGCTACGACTGGCTGGTGTTCACCATCCCAACGAGCGGCGAATTATCATACGACCAAGCATTTGGATAATGACGACCGATAAGGCCATTGGAAACAGTACTGTCTGGAAAAGGCTTCAGACGAAAGTTCGAGAACTCGGACTCAACTCAGACCAGTACGCATCGATATTCGCTGAAGGTGGAACATCGTTAGCAAACGGTCCAGCTTCTGTCCCCTTAGAACGTTTAAGCTTGGCAAGGGGCATTGAGTTCTCGCGTGGCGCAACTCTACATACTCATGCTACTTGGGAGACCGCCAGTATACACTACGAATGTGGTGAGATATGTTTAACCACCATCGTTAAAAACGGGCAAATAGTATATCAGGAGGCATCACGCATCGGAGGCTTACTGGTTATCAATGCCTCACTTTCGGCGGGGGTGACATCTGGCCATACTATACTCCTTTACTTCTTACAGAACCCGGAGGAGATGGGTCCAACAGACGAGGATGATCTACAAAGTAGCTCTCGAGGTTCTGATTCGGAGTCCTGGTCGGAGGATCAGGACGGACCAGAGAGTAATGATGAGTGCGAGATTGTGGAGAATGATATCAATAGCCGAGGCCCAATTTCTGATCTTGGTTACGTGGATCTCGAAAAGGTCAGCCGCTGGGTTCCAATAACCCCATCAGGAATGATAAACTTTATACAGCAAGCCGAGGTCGAGCTTTTGCTCGAGACTCCGTATGCCAAGCTTACCAATCTTTCGACAGGCCCAATACCAGCCGACTTCGCTCTTGTACCTCGAGAGGAATTTGGTGCTCCTCTGGGTCAGAAGGACAACATATACTATTTCAATGGACGAAAGAGTGTATCCAATATAAGTCCTGACTCTCAAGTATCAGCGAATGGGCATGAAATACTGGTCTTGCTGGGTAGTGGAATTGAAGGTTCGGCAGGTTTCCTGCAACCGACAAGATTGCCCTTCTCCATTGGGAGTACGACGATATGGGCACACAAAATTCACCTGACAGCACCTTTGGGTGAGTGATCATTGGCTTGAGGTCTTGGAAAGATGAAAGACTAATCACAGACCATCTATCTCAGGTCGCGGCACATCTGGTTCTTGGGTTGTCAAACAGGACTCAGGTAGTCTGTGCGGCTCGATCATAGCTGTGGTTGAACATCAGCCGTACGCACTTATGGTAACTGCGCAGACTCTTTTTTCCGACATTATACAGTATTCTCGAGATATAAGGCTCGTTACACTAGGGCTCCCTGAACATAACCTGAAAGGTGAACGTGAAGCCTTGGTATTCAATGATCAAGGATATGAAGTGGGCTTGAGATCGATCGGTAAGGAGGAAAACCTTTTTTCTTCATCAGTGAAGTCTATTAGGACGATGGCGAAATCCATAGCGCCGGCTGAAGACCCTGAGATTTCTCCGCAAACTACGGCGCAAGATCCAATAACCACGATCCCCAGCCAGAGTCAATCGCATATAGCCAGCAGTCGTTCTTCTATGGGCAACAGCCCAGAAAGATTTTCTGGTAGTAGCTCAAGAAGCCCTCCAACTACCGAGTCAGCAGTGTTGTCAAGGTGGATATTTTCAACTGAACATAATGTCATTGCTCGAATAGCTTTCGGTGGGGCGAAGTTCGATTTCACCACTATGTTGTCCCTGGAGTCCGAGATATTAAAGACATATCCAGCAGAGGGGCTTTTGCGATTTTCTGATACATTTCGATCCGACTCTACTCTTGCGGGATGTGGTTCCGTATTTGACCAGCCTAGACACATGCCAGATCTCAACATTGGATGAACCGAATCAATTCTTGTGGAAACATGAGCCTAGACCGAGCTGGAAATCTACAAAACAATAGTTATTTGAATAAAAACTCTTTTGTTATAAAATGTCGGTCAAAAATCGAGTTTTAAAGAATTGGCGATTTTCTGTGAAATCTGAACGTATCTACATACACCTCTAATCTAACCGGAAACAACATTACCTTGGTAGGACCTTCTCCGGTTAATTGCAATGCAGATATAACTCAAAAAGTGTCTAGAAATCGCAAACGACAGGGCTGCTCAATCTACCTAAGGACTAGGACTGACACTGCCCCCTCACAGCCTCATTCCGTACTCGATATATCACTCGGATCCCATATCATTTTTGAAAACTTTCCCTTCGTTGTCTCGAATCAACAGCAGCAATGCCGGACCTACGAACAAGCCACGGCCTTGCCGAAAACGAAGGCCTGAAGGATATGAGGATCAGAGACTTGTCTCCTGTACGAGAAATATTCGCGACGCCCGCAAATGAGCACTTCTTGGAACAGTACTCCTACCAGGACCTCGACCATTCTGAGCATGAAATTAGATTGGTCCATGTATTCAAGAAAACTGGGGATGACTTGATCCACGCCAATCTTCTTCCACCACAGAAGCTCACAAATATCAGTGGGAAATACCACACAATATCCTACTGTGCAGGGAGCGCTAGAAACACCAGGGCTATTGTTCTACAAGGAACCAAGTTCAACGTGTTTGCCAATCTCGATTGTGCTTTCCGAGAAACACTGGCATATTAGAGCACTTCCAAGGATTCTGAGGAAGACTGCATTCTGTGGATCGACCAAATATGCATCAATTAACACAATGATTCAGAAAGGTCACATCAAGTAGCTTTCATGCGAGATATTTATTTGAATTCTCGAGGAACCTTTATTTGCCTCTCGACAGACCAGTCAGACAAGGCTTGGCGGCCAAACGCGTTCTCTTGGTTTTCGCAGCGAGATGTGCAGCAGTATACTTCTCGATCTTGCTACCATATTACAATGGCAGACTATGTCAAAGGCTGGAATGCCTTTTATGACCTACTTGAGTGTCCATGGTGGAGCCGAGCTTGGATTCGTCAGGAGTTTGCCTGCTCCCAAACTGCGATATTCTTATATCACAAGGAAGCCCAGGACTTCTCCGAGCTATCATGGCTCCAAGCCATTTGTCATTCCGATCTAGTTACCAATCCCCATCACCCTGAAAACCACTTTTCTGAACCTTTAGTATCGAGAAGCGAGATCAAGAAAGAAATGAAAACTCTGACCAACCGACGCTGTCTGACAATCGAGACTTGCCACGTTGCCCGGTTCTTACTTCTCCAAAAGACTTTGTTGGGAGATGGGCCGATAGAGTGCAACTTGGATTTCAAGAAGTTGGCGCTGGATGCTCGCCATTCCAAGGCAACTGACCCCCGAGATAAGATCTTTTCTCAACTGGGACTTGCGCACCCGGGATACAACATAATGCCCAACTATTCCAGGTCTAATGATGTTTCACGCGTACTGATTGATACTGCAATCAAGATAATTCTTTTCGAGGCAGATCTAAACATATTTCTGTACGCACTTCAATTTGTAAAAGCACCTTCATGTCAATTACCATCATGGGTTCCTGATTGGACTTCCACGAATGTTACAACAATCTCCGCTTTCGGCCGTTCAGAAAACTATCAAATTGCTAGCATCACTGCTCAGATCAGACAAGATGCTGTTGGTGCCATTCGGTTTGGGGCGAGTAATGACGATAGTCAAATGACTGTTCTATTTGTGAAAGGACTGCGCTTGGGTACATTGGAAACGTTTTCCACTGACATACCGAGGTTCGGATGCAAAAGATTCACCTTGAGTGGTGGGCTTAACCCTCAATGCCGGAATGAAGCTGAACTGGGTGACGAAATCTGGCTTCTTATGGGCACATCTTGTCCGTATATCCTCCGTTCTACTGAGAAAGGATACAGACTCATCAGTGAGGTCGTTGCGATAGATAACCCAAGTTGCCAGTTGCTTTGTGAACGGGAAAGGCACAGGATGCGGACAGGGCTTGAGGCGTTGAAGGAAATTGCAATAATCTAGTATCTAGTTGTTTACAACTCAGGCAAGACAAAGTTACGCAATATGAGTGAACCCGATAATAACACATATCTTGAGTTATTCCGATCTGGATATCTTTGCCTAAGTGACTGGCCTACACCTTTGTTGATATTGGTCCGGCCCGTCACGCTTAGGTCTTCTTCTCCCACCTACCAGGTTGTGAATAGCTAGTCAAAAAAGGTATTGAGGGATTACTTACAGGTCGAGGAACAATTTCCAGAGAATAGAGAACAGAATGCCCTGTAGGCCGTTGGCCAGAATGCGCGTCTTGAGTCCACGTCCAAGGAGGCCAATAACCCCATCTTGGATGACCACAGCACGTGCAGCCTCGGCTAAAACATCACAATGTTAGTTATGGGCTTTGGATTCCACTGGTGTAGAGTGGCCCTACCATATGAAACCTTGGTGTCGTTGACCTGTCGATAGGTCTTGACAACTCTCAATGAGTTCGATATGGAATCGGAAACGATAGAGGCGCAGAAGCCGATGAAAGCGAGACGGAGCAACCACCAGAAGAGAGGATGTCTTGGGGGCTCAGTAATAACCTCGGATAAGTAGTTGTACTGCAACAAGTTAGTTTCTTATCTGTCGATTTTGAGTCTGGACATACTGTTGCGAACCAAGGATAATGACCGACGAAGGTAGCAGCAGCGGTAGCAAAAGCTCCCCACCACAAGCTACCAATTCCGTTGGACTTTATACGGCGTCTCAGAAGGGCTGTTCCACGGGCGCCCTGAGCTTGAAGGGTTGTCTTCAAGGTGTCAATGGGAGTGAGGATCATGCGGAACGCAGCGGCACTAGCAACTAATAAGCTTCCATCTTTGAATACGAGCGGACTCCAAATTACCAGAGAGATGCAAATATGGTCTTGATTGGCGATGGCAGATTCTTGAGGTAAGGGTTTGACTGGAGCAAGGCGAGAATACCAGCGTTGGCAGCTGTATCTCCGAATCGCGCGATTGGGCCTGCAGCAGTCAGATTATCAGCATTCCAACGACGCGGATAGTAGCACAGACCTTGGAATAACGCAGGTGCAATTCCTTGGTAGTATCTGCGAATTCCGCCCTCAGTGTAAAGAGTACGCGTGGCAACAGTGAAGGACGTGCCGTGGCGATACTGGTAGTTCATAATTGTCCGTAGAGGCTTATCGCTGTCAGTCGAACCATATCCATACATTTGACACAATAACCTACCATTAGTAGTAAGACTTGTAACACCATGGCTGCCGCGCCACTGAGTCCTCCTCCAAGAGCCCGTCTGAGGGCCTTCTTAAGATCAAACTAAACAAGTCAACACTTCACATTTCTCAACACGACACGAAACTCACCTCAGTCTCATCTGCATCAATCCAGCCCTTGATAAAAACCGCCAATACCACTATCGCAAGCACGGCCCAGAATATCCTCCAGGCATACCAGCTCCTCGGCCTTTTCTCCGGAGTCGGCTGGGCTTCCGGCTCATTATCGGCTTCATTTATCTCCGGCGATGGCTGGTCCGCCAGCAGCGGCGTTTGCTCAGTACTTCGCGCAAGAGCCTCGGGGTCGACTTGAGTTGTCATTGTAAGGTTTGAGGATGTTGTATGTCCTCAAATGAGTGATGATAAGAGAAAAAAGAGGCGGGAGATTGAGATTCTTGGGGTCCCCGCAATCGTCATTGATCAGTGGGCGATTTGCGTGCTAAATATGCCGATTACGTGCTGTTTTAAGCGGGGACAGACCGCGAGCATTATTAATCCACGTTATCGTGTCTCGGCTCTCTTATCTCGTCAAAACTGCCAATGTCTATATTCCAAGTGCTGCGGAGTACGGACAGTTATATTGACAATTGTGTGTCGATTTAGATTCTCGGGTATAGCATCCCAAAACATAGTCAACAGGTTCTCTAGCAACCCCGTCACTGAACGCACTTTGTATGGTGAGCTAACTACACGTTAGTCCCAAACCCGGCGGGCTCATCACTTCAAAGTTCACGTCATTGATAGCGATGATACATTGAAATGAAAGAAAAAACACAGGCTTGCAATTCACCAAGCAATAATATTCCCCGCATCTATTGATAGAATGAGCTAGTCCTTTATGGCTGTACAAATGCGCGCCGAGCTTGAGTGGCGGTCTCATAGCATAGCGGCTGCGAGGTGATAACTTAAAATAGACCAGGATGCTGTGACCAACATGCATTAAAGAATGGCCTGTGACCAACATGCATTAAAGAATGGCTGCCTCTTGTCATTGCAACCAACAGCCCTGGCCCCCCGGCAAGTTAGGTCGAGACATTTCTCGCACTTAAGTTTCTCATTCATTCTACTTTACAAATTTGCGAGCGAAACACAGCACATACCTCCATTACCGATCATGACGACTCCAGAAGAAGCGGAAAGGATTGTAAAGGAGGTGACAGAATATTATGGATATCTGGACCATGACATGATGGACGATATTGGCCGGTTCAACTCCGACTATCGTCGAAGGATTGATGAAAATTGGCTCAAGATGGAGAACGCTGCATCGCATTCCATCAAAGTGTAAGTGCCTCAAAAGAAAGAATACAAATCTTTAAAACTCACAAACTGTTCAGTTTAGCAAGAAACATCTACGGCAGCGGTGCTCGATTCGTGTTCGAGCTTCTCCAGAATGCCGAAGACAACAGCTTTCGGAGAGCCGATGACAAGAACGACCCTCCGTTCATTTCCTTTCAGATTCACCCCAAACATATCGTGGTTGAATGTAACGAGGACGGTTTCACCAGTCTTGATCTGAAGGCGATATGCTCTGTCGGAGAAAGCACCAAGACTGCAAAACATGGATATGTAGGTGCCAAAGGCATCGGCTTCAAATCCGTGTTCATCGCTGCATCTCGCGTGCACATCCAGTCCGGAAACTACTCGTTTGAGTTCCGACATAATAGGAACGACCCGGGTCTCGGAATGGTCAGGCCCATCTGGGTGAAGCCGACAGAGACGATTCCTAAACCTCTCACTCGTACAACACTTTATTTACATGATCAAGGTGACGATGAAGAGATAGAGCATCTTAAGACGGTCATTGCTATGCAGTTCGACGACCTTCAGGAGACATGTCTTCTTTTCCTACGAAAGCTGAGTAAGATTAGTGTCACGTTCTACGACGGACAAGGAAATATTCAGCGGTCAAAGCAGTTTACGAAAAAGAAGGTCGACGACTACCGTGTCTCTTTAGAAACTGCGGTAGCTTCAGCGGGCAAATCCTCTACGACAAGCCAAATGTATCATATTACGAAGCAGTTGGCCACGGGTCTAGCGCAGAGCGAGAGTCGCGATGCTGCCACAACTGAGGAAGCACGGAAAAGCCTCACTTCTGCGGAAGTTGTCTTGGCCTTTCCACTAAAAAGTGATTATCAGCCTCACATTTCTACAAGAAGACAGGAGCTCTTTGCTTTCCTGCCCCTCAGAACTTCAGACTACAAGGTAAGCAGTATACATGCCTCGACGCTATGACAGCCAGCTGACTAGAAACTAGTTTCACATCCAATCAGACTTTGATACCAATGCCAACCGGCAGGATATTGTGACTACGACAAGGAGAAACTTGAACATTCGAGACTGGATTGCGAAGACATTTCTGCAGGCAGTCTTGGAATTTAACCAGCACCCAGTTCTGTGCTATAACTGGCCACAGTTTCTCCCGTCTCAGGACAGTGGCAATGATTCTTTTTGGTCCGGGCTTGATGCCAAGATCCTATCTCTGGTTCAGGAGACTCCTATTCTAAGATCCAGAAACAGGAGGGACTTGCGTCTCATTCGTGACGTCATGATAGCCTCGAATGGCATGACCGACGATGAAGGCATACTCTTACTCGACGATCCTGTCACGGACCCCTTTGCCTCAGCCAAGTACACGTACACAGTGACTCAGCATCTTAAGCCCTATGGACTACGGGTAGCACCTGTATCTCTGTTTGTTGGCCTCCTGAAAAGAGATCTCAGCCAGCATAACTCCAAAATGCGCACCAACACAACATCTGATGACTGGCATTCTTTAGTAGCCCAGATGTGTTCGAAGATATGCGACAACAACTGGGTTGGAACCGAATTGCTCAAGTCACTCGAACTTCTACCATTGAGAGATGGCAAATGGGTCTCATGTGCCTCAGGACCGGTTTATTTTCCGATGACAGGAGATATCGAAATACCGGAGGACTTAGGCCTTAGGGTGCTCAATAAATCTGCGACGATCAACCCAGACCGGAGGGATTTGCTTCGGCATCTTGGAGCAACAGACGCCAAGCAAGAAGAGGTTCGATTCGCAATAACCTCCTTATTCATCAAATTGCCAAGTATGGGGTTTCGGTTCACTTTCGACTGTCTCCGCTACTTATTTCTGACACACTCACAACCTAAACATGCCCGTGAAAGCTACAAGAACATATGGCTTTTCACCGAAGAACACGAATTGCATCGGACACACGGCCAGACTATTTATCTTCCTATGGATGAGCATCCCTTATGCCCCGCTAGCCTCTTAAAAAATGCCCATGTGCCGCCTGACTTTCCTGTCCACTTTCTAGATCGTGAATATCTCTCGATCGGATCAGAAGATCAAAATCACTCCTTGCCTTCTTACAAACGATGGCTGTGCGACTTTATCGGGATCCATGAGAGAATTACGATCTTATCACCCAACCGAAATGAGTTATCCCAGCCTTTTCAGTACGTCCTCACTCATCGCTCGGCCAAGTTCCTTGGCCTCCTCGAACATCTTTGGCGGCTAGAAGGAAAGGAAGTCTTGAAACATCCAACTGTTGTGTCACATATAAAGCAAATCCCTGCGAAAGAGCTTTGCAGAATTAATTTCTCCCTAAACCTCGAAAACACATGGCTTCCTCTGCCAGAGCTTGAAAATTCTGTTCACCGGTATATGGAGCATTCAGAACAGTTTCCATTTCTTGTTGTCGGGGAGGATGATGACGCCGAACAAATTGGGTCTAAATGGGGCTTCCTAACCCAACACTTTGGTGTTGGCAAATCTGACGACTTGGACTTTCTTCTCGGAATACTTCACTGCATCTATAGATCATGCGAATATCCTTTGTCGATTCGTCAATCCCAAAAGGTGTTTGAACTATACATAGCCATCTACGCTAAGCTTGCTGTCTCCTTGGTACCGAGTATAACGCGTACGAGAATCAAGTAAGTTCAACTAATACCCATTACGCCACGTTACTGATAATTCGATAGAGAGGCCTTTGAATCCTTTTGCGACGATTGCATCCTTGTACCAGACGATGAAGACAATTCAGCGTCGTGGGTAGAGCCTGAAGTCTGTGTCTGGGATGGGCCATCTGACCTTGACTCTGTGTGTTCCCTGAAATCCGCGTATAAGAGAAGAGGTTTGGGCGATGAAGACATCAGCAACATTGAAAAACTATTTGTTGGAACCTTGGGCATACGAAACATATCGGCAGAGGGTATTGTGTCGGAACTTAAATGCCGTTACGGCACTTGTGGGAATGAGGAGAATGATGGCGAGATTTTGAACCTCTACAAATATTTGCATGAACAGCTTACAGTCACACCTGGAGTAAGGTACGCTGCCGTGTATTGATACAGTGCCAAACCGACGATACTGACCAGACTCTAGAGCTGCATTTCAACAATCTTCACTCATCTTTCTGAGGCAGGATGATGAACCACAATGGTATAAGACCTCTGACTGTCTGTGGTCTAGCACAGCACCAATCCGCGGGAAGGTCACGCTTGACGAGGCTTATGAGGACCTCAAAGCGTTTTTCGTCAGCAAGCTTGGTGTGAAATCGCTCACAATGCAGATGGTATATGATGAGCTGCGGCAGTCTCCTGAGAGCAGCGTAGAAGACATAAAGGTTGCTCTGTTTTCTTTCAATGACTTTCTCCAGACTGAGCACGGCAATTGGGATCCAGAACCTATTAAAACAGCAAAGATATTTCCTGTCGTCTATCCTGATGGGACTACCGCCTTGCGGTCCATGGATGTGGACTTTGCAATAGCAGATCGGGACAACCTACGATCTAAGTTCTCTAACCAGATTGCTCTCCTAGACTTTGACTTGGAGGATGTCCACCGACTAAGGCCATTATTTACCTGGCTGAAGATTCAAGAGCGATATCTCTCCAAGTGCGTCATTGAAACAACAGCAATCTCAGACGACTCCAGGATGCCGATATCATCACCTAGAAGAGACTTGGGCCTCAAAGCCTATCAAATATGCCGGTACGTGCAGTCATTGCCATGCGTATTCACTGCTAATGAGGAATGAATTGCAGGGTTGCAGCCACATTCAGGAGTCCGCGCTTTCAGCACAGTGAACCCCATCTCTACAACCAGCTGCGTGCTATGGAGGTCTTGGAGGTTGAAGGGATCTCCTCCATTCTGAAATTGAGTCAGGGTGGCAGAAATTATGAAGCGAGACTCACGGCAGCCAGTGAGCATATCGACGAACCAGCTGGAAATCTCACCATCTACGTCCCACGAGACCGAAGAGCGCAGGAAATCTGTTTTGGATCAGTCCTCCCCAGGAAGTTTGCAGCATGGCTCATGCGTAACCCGCATACTAATATTGATGGCAATGTGGAGGTCGATGTCATCAACGCCCTCACTTCAATTTTCGCCAGCGAGCGTGCTGTTCTGGACGAGATTCTTGACGATCAGGGTATGATACAGTTGCAGTTTGAAGACCCAGACGAATATTTGAATCAAGATGAAATGTGCGATGAACGGGCCCAAGATAATCATGCGTCTGATTCGACCCCAGATCATGGTTATGAGATTTCTGAACTGGTTCTCACTCCGACTCATTCATCAGTGAACGATGCCTCAATCATACCATCGTCAGTGCGAGATTCAGAAATCGAGGATGGTGTTCTGGAAACAGATGGAGAAATAGTTGAGATTCAGAGCAGCACATCCCATCAACTTCGCCGAGGTGAAAGAAGTGCTTCGCGGCCCCAGCGACATCACACAACAGATGACAGACCTTTCAGCCCAGAGCAGTTGAATAACCAACGTCCAACTTCTTCGAATCCAGCTGCCCAGGCGACTGAGGACCAGCGATATCGAACGATTCTCGAAAGAGTCATCGCGGCAGCTCGACTTGCGAACTTTCCACCTGGTGGGGTCTTTGACTTGAATGACTTGCGAGATGCCTTACCGGACTCTGGAGAACCGAGTTCGTACCTGAGTTATGATGGATTGGATGTGTTGAGTAGGTTTCGATCCACAAGCCAACTGGAACGCGATAAGAAGATAGGGGCCGCTGGAGAACTCTACGTAAGTATCATGATCAGAGTGACACGAATTATGACACTAAACTTTCCTTTGTAGGTATTTGAGCTGCTATCAAAACTTGACCTACCAGGCTGGGGCCGTGGGAACTGGCAAAGCACCATAAGAACATATGCAAATGTCCATCCGGAGTACGCCGATCTGACTCACTGGCCTAATCGTGAGACAGCAGATCTTGTATACTCAGATACGCAAGGAGATCTGACACGTCTTTTGGTCGACGCCGAGATCCTTGGTGACGATTGGTCTACAAGACGCCCCAGATACTACATCGAGGTGAAAACAACTACCGGGCCATGCGGAACACCATTTTATATGAGTGGAAACCAATACCGACTGGTAAGCCTTGTCGTTATGCACTTCGCAGACAGGAACTAATGGCACACAGATGGAACGTATTCACCATAGTCCAGATTTCTCAGAAGTCTATATCATATTCCGTATTTATTTCCTGCTAGATCGGTCGCAGATCAGTTACTGTGTATATCCTGATCCAAAACGACTTGAAGATGATGGGCGGCTCATTTTCACAGGAACGACATGGTCAGTCACACCAGGGCTTCAAGCATAATGGTTCCATAGTAATCTATAGTACCTATGAGAAAGAAGAATGGCGAAAGACAAGTTGGTCCTGCGAAATAACCATGAATTGGAGAAGTGTTCGACTTGAATCAAGTTATGAGCCAGATATAGCATCGTGTGATCATGAACAACTAATCTCTTGGAATGGACAGCGTGGATGCAAAAGGCAGGGGAAGTTCAGCTAACGGTAAACTACAGGGGTGACATGTTAGGGGTTGGTGTTCACTAGACAACCCTAGCTTCAGGGGTAAGAAAACACCGAACCTTACCTAATACAAGGTGTCAAAATAAACTGATTAAAGAGCAGCCTAAGCTTAGGCTGAATTTACCTAATATTTTCATCGGTTAGGGTCAAGGTCCTGAGTTTTCTTTCCTCCCCCCTAGCCTAGCAGCCCCGCAACACCAGCTGGTCACTTTTTCCAGGCGATCCTCCCCCCTCTCCTCTTCCCAAAGCCTCATCCACAGATTCGTCTTAATAATCGCTAAATCATCACATCAACGCCTTCTAGTCATAGCACGTGCTTCATTTATAATCATGGCTAGCGCAGAAGAGGCTGAACAAATAATCCGGAGCTTGAATGGCGACATCAAGTGAGTTGACTGAAAAAGGTCGTGGCGAGCATGGTCGCTAACCATGACAAGGCTGGGAAAACATGTCGAGCATAGCGCAAAGAAATTACTCCATGAAATCTTCCGCTATGTTAATAGCAGGACCTTCACTAAAGTCCTGGCGACTTCAGAAACCCCTGTAATCACATTCAGAGTATACGATGGCGACAAAATCGTGATCGAGTTCAATGACGATGGCTTAACAAAGGCTGATCTGGAAACAATTTGCCAACCGGTCTCCAAAGAGCAAACAGGCGAATACAAGTTCAAAACAATTGTTATCGCCAATAAGAAGGTTCGCGTTCAATCAGGAAAGTTCTCCTTCGACCTTCAACACAACATCTCTGATGACGAAGACAATGTAATGCATCCTGTTTGGGTCACACCCACTGAGATGGTTCCCAAGAATATGACTCGCATCACACTGCACCTCCATGACCAAGGCAGTAAAGAAGAGATCGAGGCTTTGAGGAAGACTATTCGTTCTCAATTTGAGAAGCTGCATGACGCAAGCTTTATCTCTCTCAAAGATATCAAATGGATGATGATTGAGTTTCTTGATGGCACTGGCTGTCTCGTTCGTTCCGAGGTCTTACAGAAGAAGAACGTTGGTAGGCATGGAGTCGAATTGGACATCGCTGATGGAGACCAATGCACCAAGACCCAGTTCTATCATTTAACGGACTACTCTGTGGACAACTTGGCCACGTATGTCACACTCGCCTTTCCTCTCACAGACGAGTCCACGCCTCAAGTTGACGGCGTTGAGGCAAGACAATTGTTCAATTTCGTGCCCCTATGTGCATCACCACTTTCAGTAAGTCAGCAATACTCGGGTGAATACTTCTTCGCTGATCATTATGCAAGTTCCATATTCACTCAGATTTTGAACTCGGGAATGATGGGCAGGGGCTGGACACTACATCAGCCCGCAACAGAAACATCCGAGACCTGATTGCAAACGCATTCTTTAAGGCTATTTTACAATTCATTGATAACAAATATCTTTGGAATACCTGGTCATTGCTCCTTACACCCATTTTGGAGGACACATACCCATTCTGGTCTGCTCTTGACACTGATATTCGAAGTTGGATATCGAAAAATCCGGTCCTCAGGTGTAAAAGTCCGAAGGCGTGGCGGCTCATCAGTCATCTTACCAGAGTTCCTCCAGAGGCTCAAGATGAAAATGGAAAACCGCCTCTAAACGACCCACTCCGAGTCATATCTTCTGCGCAAGTATCCTGTGGCGGCAGCGGCTAAACTGACCGAATATGGCCTCGCCACTCTAACCGACGCCCGACTGCTCGAACTTTTGGAGATGGATCTGGAAAGCCCGAAGCCGAGGATGCACACCAGTACCTCGAGGGGTTGGCAAATTGCCATGTCGCGTCTCCTCACAAAGTTGCTCACGAATGATGAGCGAGTTGACAAGCTAAAATCACTTCCTATCGTGCAGCTACGGGACGGTAGCTGGACGTCCGCGGCTTCCGGGCCCGTATATTTTCCTAACTCAGAACACGATGCCATCCCTGAGTCGTTGGAGTTCCGAGATGTGACTCTACTCGCAACATTTCAACCGAAACGAAGAAAGCTATATGAAAAACTCGGAGTGAATCAGCCCACAGCCAAGGAAGTCAGACAGAAGATCCTGGACACTTTCAAGTCAGCCGAAACTTTACTACTTGACGACGTCTACGAGTATCTTCGCTACCTATACCTGACACATCAGTCTTTCAATATTTTCACTCCCCATGAACAGCCCTATGGTGACGTGAGGGTTCTGACGACGGGCATGAAACTCCAGAATCCACATACCACCACTGTATACTATCCGGGAACGGATGATCCGTATAGCCCCGAGAGTCTGCTTGGCCCTGCTTCCATGGCCAACTTCTTGCACCCGAAGATATGGAACGAGGGAGCGGATAAGCCTGGTCCCTTCCACCCAACTTGGAAAGTATGGCTTTGCGATTCCGTCGGCATACGGGAGCGGCCAAGTCTACTACAAGCTAAAGCGCAGTCCGAGTCCGAGTCTACCAACGACGGATCCTCGACCGACGCTGGTAGTATAGTTCTGTCTGGCGCATTTCATAACGTACATAAACATCATCCAGACAGATTTTTGGGTTTCATTGAGCGCCTTTGGATACATGAAGGCCACGAGCTGTTAAAGCATCCAACTCTCGTCACCGAAATTCGACAACGTCCTGCAAAGAAGTTATGTGGTGTGGACTTCGAAGTCAGTTTACAGGATACATGGGCTCCGTCCGAGGACCTTCAAACTTCCGTCCAAGTGTTCATGATGAACCCTGACGTGTTCCCTTTCCTTAAACTTGATGATGAGAAAGACGTTGATCTAGTCATCGCTACCAGATGGAGCTTCCTTACTAAACACTTTGGTGTTAAGTGGAAACACGACCTTGACTTCCCAGTGCAGATGGTGAGGTGTATCAAGCGCTCAAGCACCAAGCTATCATCGGTGCAAATAGACAAACTCATGAGGGTGTATGATTTGATTAGCAGAACATATTCCTTATCGGCAAGCGAAGAGAAAGCGAAAGCCTTGTAAGTCTGCACATCCATTGGCCTTCATGTTGTTAATATGTCGATAGGGAGTTTTTCAAAAATGGTGGCGTGCTGTATGCTGAAGCCAACAAAGCGGCCTGGTTAAGGACTTCACATTGTGTTTGGGCTGGACCAACTGGTCTTGTATCTAAACGCTCCATCAAGCGCTTCTACTTCGAAAACAGCTGCGCCAAAAAGCAGTACCAGAGCATCGTCCGGCTTCTCGTCAATGAGCTCAAAATTCGAGACGCTAACGGCGACGCCATGGTTGAAGAGCTGGGTGCGCTACGGTTGCAAGAATGTAAAGATATCCCCACCGTTCACCGTATCTACACATATCTTGATGGGCAGACTATATCTCCAGAAACGAGGTGAGCTGCAACGTATTTTCTTATTCTTTGCGTATGGAGAATTAACCAAGTATCAGACGTAAGTTTCATGAGCTTCCGCTCATCCTAGTGGAACAAAGCGGGCATTCAGAATGGCTTCGCGCTTCACAATGCTTTTGGTCTGAGGCAGATTCAAATGATTTGAACGGCAACCTACAAAGGTGCTATCCTGATCTTAAGGATTTCTTTCTTGAGAAGCTTGGTGTGAAGATATCAGCCTATGACGCATTGCTGAACACAAATTCGGACAATCCGGAGGATATACAACAGTTGATTACGTCCTTTGCTGACGAGGTTCGCGAATCGATTCCCAGATTTCCTGTTGAGCCAATCCGACGGGCAAAGATCTTCCCTGTCAGAAACCCCGGCGGAGATGTATTGTTGGTATCTCTTGATACGGATTTTGCTATTGCCGATAGACAAGGCCTTCGAAGAAACCTGCAAGATCACATCAGAATATTGGACTTTGATCTAGAGGGTGTGCGATGGCTATGGCCATTCTTCCAATGGCTTGAGATTGAAGACCGATATCTTTCAAGATGCGTAAAAAGATCGTTCACCGTGTCTGAAGACGGCGCGGCGTCGGAAGAGGTAGATCCATGGGATCTGAGACTCAAAGCATATCACATCACTCAGTAAGATGGGTCACTCGTTCTTTGGGCTTTACTAACGTCCCCGCTCTCTTTAGAATCGCTGCCACTTTCCGCATCTTTGCAACGTATGGTAATGCTACCTCACTATATCAACGGTTGAAAACCCTACGTGTTGTCGAGGTTTCCCACATTTCCTCTGAATTGGAAATTACCCAAGATCAGAAAGCAATTCGGTCAACGCCACAATCTGTCACTGCGCACATATCTGATGACGAACCCAATTTCACCATCTATGTGGCGAAAGACAAGAAGAAGATCTTTTCATTTCTGCCAAGAATCCTGGAAGAATGGCTCAGGCAGGATAGGGATCGCCGGCATACGTTCGAAGTGATTAGCTCGCTCACCTCTATAATTGCTAGTGACATTTCCGTCCTGGATGAAATCCTCGAGGATCAAGGTATCATAGAACTGCCTTTTGAGAATAACGACACAAGTGGTTCCAAGATGGCTTCGGAAGGCGCATCTGAATGCCTGTCTGTGAGGGAGGTAGTTGGGAAGCCATCCGAAGAAGATCGAGGAGAGTCGCTGGTCCTACGGGGGCGTGATTCTGCATCTGAAGTTGGAGCTCAGGATGGAGTCAGGTAGCTTAGTAGCATCGATCTACTGTAACATTCAGAGATTTCATGAGTGAACATGAACATGAATCGGGGTTCCCGGAGCATCATGCTAAACTATCCCAAAACTTTAAAGAAGAAATATCATACACTATAGTGTCCCCCATTCTTCGACTTCATCAGTCAGAATGATAGGATGGTTACCCAAATAAGGATACATACCATTGGGCTTTGTTATTCAGTGGATGCATTCTATTATCATCTGCATTCGTGCCCTCTCCTACACTCATGTAATCGCCCCTAATACATAGACCACTGTCCTCCAACAAAAGACTTAGTTGTCTTTGCCTATTACATTCTGATGTTCGATGCAGATAGAATCAGTGACAAAAAGGCTTTTGAAGTCTATCATCCAAATCCTAACACTCATAATATCCACCATTCAGGCTTCCGCTTTTCGTATCCGACTTGTATCCCAAAGGACATAGGCTTGCATAAAGTAGTCATCCATAACAACATCTTCAAATCGATTCCTTATTCGACAGGCTAGCTGCCTGTCAACACAGCGTTTCTCTACGCTCACTGCAGATGAGCAAAGCTTTGCGTCCCCGGTTGCGAACTCGGAATAGCTCGAGAGCACATAGTTCTGCAGCTCCTCCTCCGCCATCTGTCGTAGTTTATGCAACATAACATAGCCGCGCAAACAAAGAGACCTAATGTATCTCACTTCTAGGTTTTCGGTCCTACTTAAGAACTTCGATGTCTGATTATCCTCAGAGCTTGATATGGCCGGTGACTTGAAGGGATCTTTCCGGCGCTGTTGTGCGACTAGGTGTAATAAAGTTTTGAATTTGTCAAAGACAAACCATAGTATCGAATAGAGGTAGAGCCCGTCACTAGGTAGTCCATGCCACCAGGCATCAACACATTTCCAGTGGGGCTCTGTAACGTTGCGACTGTCATTACATTTGAGACCACTGAGACCATTCGGGCCATCAGAATCCATGTAAAGCCGCCAAGATTCATACAAAAGAAAGCCACGTTCAATGGCGTATGTCTCGTTTTCGGAAAAGGACCAATTGTCTTTCAACGATTGGATGCCGTTCGGAAGCTAGATCTGGTTGGAGCCTGCTCTTCTCTTTCCACGACAGGAATTTTTTCCAAACTTCCGTTGAATATTCTCTGCCGGTGAAGCTCACAGATCAAGGGTAGGTGCTTTTCCCAGTTCGCGTAATAGGTCTTTTGTCTAACAGTAAGCTTATGGTCTTTACCCAACGTCCGATCTGGGAGAGTGTTTATGACCACAATCCGATGAGTTCCAGATTTCAGAACTGCATATGAGTTTTTAATCTGACGGATGGTAGGCGCCATTATGAACGAACGGTGAGCAAGGTAAAGCTGGAATATGACGGGCGATGCTTTGATGGCGGATTGGAGGTCTATCGGAGATGAAATTGATCGCATGATCATAATTATGACTTCACTTGGAAGCCCTTCCAGCGTTTTTGTAACGTCCATATTGGAGAAGTGTCGAAATGTTGGTAGAAACTCAAGAAGGAGATGTTCTTTGGGGGGGAGAAGGGGGAGGGGGCTCTATTTATACCTCGGCGAAGAGGAAACTTTCCAATGAGGGTTTCAAGGTTTCGTGTTCATAGCCCCTCCAAAAGCCACGCCAGTGAGAATCTCACTACAGCATATTACCACATCGAGTGGCAGACTTATTCATGCAGACGAAGGTTTGATCGAGAACCTTGAATTAAGGAGCCGTGGCCTTTTCAACAAGACAAACCCACTTGAAGGTATATGGCTTTATTCCTTTGAACCTTTCAAGGAAAATCGTGGAACTATCTTTTATTTCTTGGTCTTTTGCCGTTGGCTCGTTTAGTTACTTTGTTCCGACTTTTTGATGAGGTGGGAAACCCTCTTATCGCGATATGGTCATCAGTGATGCGCAGCAAATCACAAACGACGAGACCCACTGTATTATAGCCGTACAGCAGAGGCGAAGGATGATCACGCAGGCAACTAACTTTAGAGCATCACGTAACCTCCAACTCCAAGAAGAGCTATACCAAGCCCTCACCAACTCTAAAAAATGGCCTCGTCCTCCTCCAAACCACCAGAGGAAACGCCCATGCCATTTTCGTGCTATCAGTGCCGTAACCGTAAACTCAAATGCGATCGTTCGAGCCCCGAATGTAGCCGCTGTTCCGCCACCGGCACAAAATGCCAATATCCCTCTTCGCGCAAGAAGCCCGTGATAACAGCCACGCGACCACGGGTCAAAGAACTCGAGTCGCGATTGGGTAAGTAAATAGTAAAGCTTCTGGGTGATTCTAATGGGGAACAGTCGACCTGGAGTATCGGCTTAAGGCGACGCAGGAGGAGGGATATCAATCGTTCAGACCCTTTGAACCGTCGGAGAATCAGCTTACTGAGACGGGAAGATATGAACAACTTCCCCCACAAGAAATTATTGAGGAGTTGTGAGTGAAAGCGCCGAGAGTAAAAGAAAAGGACTGAAACTTTGTAGGACGAATGTCTTTTTCACAAAGGTTCATTGCGATGCGCAATACATTCATCCTTCGCGATATCTTGCATCGCTGTATCTGCCACCGCATATGCAACCACCCATGTGTCTTCAGTATATAATCATGGCGCGAGCTGCACTTGTTTCACCGCCTCACAGACATCTTGCAGATCCGTTCTATCGAAGAGCGAGATACTATCTCGAAGCTGATGAACAGAAGGTCAGTATATCATCAACTGAGCATAAGGACGTTGACTAAAAAATATCAGGGTGAGGGAGAATATTTTGTCACTCTCGCCCATACGCAATGTTGCATTCTTATGGCTCATTTTGAAGTACTAAACATGTGGTTCTCCCGATCATCTATGAGTACATCAAAGTCTGTTCGCCTGTCGCAGATTCTAGGCCTCCATCAGCTCGATGGTAAAAATGACTGGAGAAGAAATGCAACGCTTCCGGAACCGAAGGATTGGTGTGAGCTTGAGGAGAGGCGAAGAACGCTATGGGCTGTGTTTTGTAGTGATAAGCATACGAGCGGCACTACGGGATGGCCAAGTCTGATGGACGTCAACAAGGTATGATACATAAGAGCTAAGAAGATACGTGACTGACGACTTGCAGATCAGCACATTATTGCCAGCCTCGGATGAAGCTTTTCAGCTTGGCATGGAGGAACCCTCAACGTCACTGCCTCAAGTTCTCGGTGGTGACAGCTCTCTCTGCTCATCATTCGGATATCGCATCATGACGACTCATCTCTTCCACGAATGTCTCGACCATACCTACCAAGACCATCAAGCATCTGACCTAACCGATGTTCAAAACAGTCAGTTCTGGAAGCGCCATCGCGATCTCGACACAAGTCTCTCAACAGCGTTCATTACGCTCCCTGAAACGCTGCGCGGGTCACATACCCAAGAAGCCACCAACATAAACCTACAACTTCACACCGCGTCGATATGCATTCATCGCGTCGGTACCGTCCAGGCCATGAAGCACAACATCCCTGCTGACGTACTATGCAACACACAGGCGCGTCTCGTCCCTTCTGCTGACGCGATATTTAACATCATTGCTTCACAGCCTGACGTGACAGCCATGTTCGGCAAACCCCTTGTGACATTTGCAGCATATATGGCGACATATGTGTTTCTAGAGGATTATGTATCCGCACAAAACCGCTCCAGCGAGATGAAGATGACAGCGCTCATGGATCTCATGATCACGATTGGACGCGAGAACCCTGTTACTGCATCTGCGGCCATACAAATGGCGCATGAATTACGGAAGACCGGGATTGATGCATCTGCCGTTGATAAGGTCCAGGATCTTATGGAGAGGAGTGCAAAAGGGCCGCTCTTGGGACAGCAGAATACGGCCGAGGGCAGCGTCTTGTTCTGTCCATTCGATGGACCTTCAGGACCTGCGCCACCCAGCGTACCAAGTGAGATACTGAGGGGTAATCTCAGCGGTTTTCCTTAGCTTTCAAATCCCTGTCATTCGCGAAGTATGATTCGCTGCGGATATAACAAAAAACATTTCGGGGCAATCATTCGCATTGCGCGACATAAACGTGAACACGAGGTGACACCTGTCAATCAGCGACCAAATCCATATCGGGTAATCAATACACAAGGAACTCAGCAGAGTTGACGCAAGTGGCGAACGGCCAAGCAAGGAACTCGATCCGTGATAATGATTGGCCTGTCACGAATAATCATTGACAAAGCCTTTGCCATTTAGAGAAATGTATACCCGATGCTAACGGTGGAGAATTGCTGCGCATCACGCCGACGGCCGATATTTTATACTCCGCCCGCATTGCATTTGACGTTTCCCCAGATATGCAAGACATTTCTGTTCTTTTGTGACAGTAATTTTTCCCGGTAACCAACAGAACGTTGCATCCAAAATGGCGCCCATTTATAAAGTTGCTGTAATTCAATTCGAACCAAAGGTTAGTCCCCAAACGTCGTTGCGGCATCTATTGATCTATCTGATATCATTGACTTACACGTTATCAGGCCATCGTTGTCGAAGAAAACTTTGCAAAAGCAGAAAGTTATCTTCGCTCAGCCGCTTCAAAGGGATGCGATATTGCAATTCTCCCTGAATTCCATTTAACATCATGGGTCCCCGAGCATCCCGAATTCATATCGGCTAGCAAGACATCAACAGGATATCTCCCAAAATACCAAGCTCTAGCTAAAGAACTCAACATCAACATCGTTCCTGGCACAATCTGCGAAGTTCATGTAGTTCCCGATTCTAAAGATGAGGAGCTCCGCAACATGGCATACTTCCTTGCCGCAGGAACAGGCGAGATTTGTGGCTCTTATCAGAAGAAGAATCTTTGGCATCCAGAGCGTCCGCATTTAACTTCTTCGACGCATACCCCTCATACTGCATTCGACACACCACTCAAGCCCGCTGATGGGAGACCTGTACGCGCCGGTATGGTGATATGCTGGGACTTGGCATTCCCCGAAGCGTTCAAAGCGCTTGTCAACGATGGTGCAGATATTATACTCATACCATCATACTGGTTTATGGATGACAATGGCGAAGAGGGAGCCTGTCTCAACCCCGATTCTGAACGCATCTTCTTGAATTGTACACTTACAGCACGAGCCTTTGAGAACACGGCCGCGATTGTGTTTTGTAATGCTGGAGGCCTGAGTTGTGTGAACATGCCAATCCTGGGAGCATTGGGAAGAATTGAGGTTGGTGAGGAGAAGATGGAGATTGTGGACTTGGACTTGGATGTGTTGAGGGTCGCGGAGGAGACATACAAGATCAGGATGGATATGAAGAGTGAGGGATGGCATTACAAGTATAACATGAACTCGGGTTCAAAGGCATAGAAGGGATATATATCCATTACTTATGTATATAGAAGAAAGTGGATTTTACCTCTTGTCAATCTCGGCATATGTGCAGCTGTATCATACCATCACCGAATAATGAGTGGAGCTCGACAGAACCTGGTGATTATAGATCGGTTTGACATCTCGCTGACTCATCAAATCATTAAGCGTCATTGGTCTAGGGGTTAGGATTCAACTCTTCCATTGAGAAAAGTTGAGGCTCGGATTCGAATTCCGGATGACGCACGATTACTTTGTTTTTGTTTTTTGTTTTTGTTTTTTGTTTTTGTTTCCTCTCCTGTATTGACTCCGTTTCTGCCTACCTGACCTTTTCAGCCCATTTGAACGATTGCCAAGAGTGATCTCGGCTTCAACCCCGTTGGCTTGCTCTCCCCTTATCACAGAGATGTATCCCTGTTTTGCAAGACACTTGACTCGGATTTGCCAGGGGAATACTACTCACCCTAGTTTCAACTCAATCGTCAGATCTGCCGAGCTGGTATGATCTGACAGTTCAACGTCTTTGACTCGCGATCCTGATCGATCGTGTCTCAGACAACGCATCGACTTTTGAGTCTGTGCAATGGAGGCGGTAAGGAGTTTCAGTCACGAAATATGATCTGATCCTCTGGAGTCGCCCGATTTGGAGAAGACTGCATGAGGCTGAACATGTTATGCAAGGGAGGACACAACTTCAGGACTTCGCAGCTGAAAAGTGATCCACAAACGAGATATCATTGGTTGTGAAGGAGGTCTATGGATCATGTTATTTCCGTCGGGTTACACCAGCGAGGGGCTTTTGCTCCGTTCTTCATTTCAACAGTCTCTGTGTTACACACCTTGAGCCTCTTGGAAATGTGACCTGGGCATCCACCACAGAGCTCAGTCTGTAAAGCCATCCCTTTGGGGCACGAGAGGTCTCTTGCATGTATGGCCTCAAAATACATAACAGTGCGTTCAGAAGCCACGTTTGGTTCATTGTCAGAAATACTTGCAACCAGGTTTGACCTCCAGCCAAAAGGAGGTACCATTGATATCGATTGCATGATTGAACAGACCCCTCTACAGTGTGATCGAGCTTCCTTCTCGTGCCGCAAGGGATAGCATAGAATATCCAAAAGTTTACTAGGCAGAGCGCACTGTTATGGTGAAATGTTGCAGTTCTATCACCAACAGAGCCATTCAGACGTTGAGTTTCAAGCCTGTATCGTCGAAAGTTCCGGCTAAGTGGTCGATTTAACGTCACACGATAGTATCTGTTTGTGATCACAGTAACTACGCAAGAGGTCTGGCCCTTTGAACACGAAAAAAAGCATCCAGCGAGGGCCAGACGCCCCAGGGCCTCTGCAGGTAGTAATTGAGAAGTGATACAGGTCTGAGATGCCACCGTCACTGTTCTACGACGTGGGGTCCAAGGAATGTGATGGGAGAATGTGCCAGAAATGTATCACACAACATCGACTCCATAAAATCAACCAGTCGAGTATAATAAAACGGAGTTTTCCGTGTTCTTGACGATTTGCAAGCCATAGTTGATGTCTCCATGTTTCACCGAACTGCCGAGATCCGGCCATTCCAACGTGGCGCTGCCTTAATTTAAACTGTAGAGTCCGTGAAGCCTAAAGTCTGAATGTCTCGGTTACTTCGAAGGCCGAATGTGATGGGCACGAATACGCGCTCCGAAAGTTAGCGGCCTGATACTATACTGGTTGCAACCTGTTTCACTAGAGACCCAATCAACACCAAATATGTATTCTTTTTATGAGATTGACATATTTCTTATCAGAAAGGAGATTCCAACATAAGCTGGAATTTAGAGAATATGTGGCTGTGTTGCTGTGGTCAGTCTTTGGTGGTCTGGTGACTGCGTGACTCGGTGTCACTCCAAAGTTTATGAGGAAACATGGACAATGCGTAGTGGCAGACTCGAGATGACACAGCCAGCAGCCAACAGCCATTCACTTATGACAGCTAAAAGCGTATTATGAGACATGTATTGAATCACCGTGAACGACACTAGGGAGTTACTCTATCGCCTCTCTTTGTACATATCAATATGGGCAAGCACGTCAGCAGAATTGATGACCCGAAAGTTCATAGCGGATGCTAAATATACTCATCAAGATGGTACTTTGGGCGCAGCTTGGGTCTAGGGACTTGCCAAGAAGCTCTCATTGTTGTTGCCACAAGTAATAATACCTGGGACACCTCCCTGAATGTCAGGGATTTCAAAGCCGAAGCCCCTGTCAAGTGCTCACAGTAGCAGATATTGCAGATACACATCCTAATGTGGCTACTGGAGCTGGGGAGAGAACCAAAAGAGACATTAAAAAGTCTAATACGTAGGTGGCTGCTTAACGGCGACATCCGTTGCATGATATGATCCCGGTTGACTCAGCCCCAAACGTTGACAGCAGAGCGCACCAGCCACCATGGAATGCCAGCTTTGATTCATGCTGTTGGTTCTATCACAGAAAGGAGTACTGAGCCTCTTGGCCTTCAGACCGTACCTTTTGTCCAATTTCTCCTGGATTCTTGATAGTCGTTTCTTGTCGCCGAATTCAATGTTTACAGCTTTTATTTTTCACGATTGATGGTAACAGAACTGTGAGGAAAAAGACCTATCTGGTTCCAAGATTCACATCGAGTGAGCGCCATGGGCGACCGTCCCCTTTTCTCGATGGTCTCACGCCAGCAAGACTTTCAATCGATCACAAACAGCCCAGGCCTGGATCCAAACCCATCAGCGGTGTTTTGTTTAAGATCTTATTGTTCCAAGGCAAGTAGCACTACGCCTTGATCGATCTGGAATCACCTGAGCTGCCATGATTCTGAGAACCCTCCTTATACTACATACCAACGAAAGCATCACACAAGACAGCCTAATCAAGCATTGATCCAGGATGTATCGAGGACCGGCATTTCACAATGTTGCTTGTCACCAGCAGTCACTGGCTTGTTTATTGTGATGATAGGTATGTTGGGATGCTACTGGTCAACAACTACCGAGATATATAGCACGAAGCTTCATCGACTCTGTAGCTCAACAACATCAACAAGTCAACGAATTATCACCTAATAGCCATGACTCACTCTCTGAGCTGGCGAGCTCTCGTGGCTATCACCCTGACGGTTTCAGCTTCTGCATATCCCCTTCAAACATACTCAAACCTCGTCCCACGTGCCGGGTGTCCCATCCCTGATATCTGCACCTGGGGAAGTTGCACCAACACCACTATTGGTCTTGATCCCCGAAACTGTGGAAAGTTCGGTAACTCCTGTGAGCCCTCAGAGATCTGTGTTGCCGGTCTGTGTCTCCCGCTTGAGCTCGGTACAGATGACTGTCCTACCGCATGCAAGCCTGGTCAATTGTGCACCAACGGCGAATGTGTCTCCATCGAGATCGCAGTCGATCCTCTTCACTGTGGAGGAGAGTCCTGTGATGCTTCATCTCTCTGCATCAACCAACAATGCCAAAAGCTCGACATCGGCTCAGATCCTGCATCCTGCGGCCCTTCCAATACCAAATGCGATGCTGGAAGCTGGTGTCTCTACGATACTTGTGTTCCCTTTATCCTCGGTACCGACGTGCAAGCCTGCGATGAGAGAACTTCATGCTCTCTTGGTACATCTTGCCAGGACGGATACTGCCGACAGATATTCCTTTCGACCGACATAAACAACTGCGGAGAAGATTCCCAGGCCTGCACTGCTGGGCAAGTGTGTGTGTCTGGGCAATGCCAGTCCCTTAACGAAGAAGACGCAGACCAGACCTGCGATACACCCTGCGAGCCTGGCTCATGGTGCTTGGGTGGCCAATGCGTACCGATCAGCATCTCGACAGATACTTCTCAGTGCGGCAGTAGCGCCGAACCATGTGGCAAGGGACAAGTCTGTGTCTCTGGGCAGTGCATTAGCGACCTGGTTCACAAGGAAAGCATCCCTCGGACAGCTTGTAGTCCTTCTACACGTCTAGGAGGATTTCTTTTCGGACCAGGGGGGTCTACAGACCAGAACAACAATGATGGTGTTCGAGAAGGTTCTCCCAACGACGCCACTTCGGGACAGGGTGGAAATCAACAAGGAGGAGACTCCACCTCGAATAACAACGGTTCTGGCAGCTCTCCTGGTGACGCTTCAGGTGGAGGTGGTCAAAACCAAGATGGCCAGAATCAAGGTGGCCAAAGCGGTTACCCGGGCGGCTTCCCGGGCTCACGTCCTGGTTCCGGCTCTGGCTCTGGTAGCAACCAGGGTGGCCCCAACAACATTGGCCCTGGCCGTCCAGGCCCAGACGAGGATGGTAAGGGATTTCCATCTTCTGCATGTGAGCCAGAGTGCGCATCAAGCTTCATCTGTGTTAGCGGAGAATGCCTTTCGGTTTCTGACCCCTTATCCTGCGGACCCTCCACCAACCTCAACCGTCTCTTCCATCGCCAAAACGCTGTTTGTCCGCCAGGTTATGCCTGTATCGACGACCGCTGCGTTCGGGTAGATGGACCCATCAGCTGCGGTAGTTCTATCTGCCCTGCCAACTATGCCTGCATCCAGGAAGCGTGCGTCCCTCTTGGAGATCCCACCGACTGCGGTGGTGAGACGTGTGCTAGTGATGAGATCTGCTTGGGTGATACCTGTGTATCAAATCCGGCACTGGCTAGCTGCGTTGGTGTCGTTTGCCCTCCCGGACAGGTATGCCAGAACGGAGACTGTGTTGCCATTGGTTCGCCTGGTGCGAACGGTAATCCTCAGGGCAATGGCGGTAGACCCGGCGGTAATGGTGGTTCCTCCGGAGACGGTTCCGGTGACGGTGGATCTGATGGAGGTAACGGAGGAGGCAACGGAGGATCCAGCAACGGCGGATCTGGTAACGGCGGGTCCGGCGGTGGTTCCAACGGAGGCAGCAATGGAGGCAACAATGGAGGAGGCAACGGTGCCTCTCCTGGAGATGGCTCAGGCAATGGCAACGGAGGTAACGGCAATGGAGGCAACGGAAACGGAGGCTCCGGTGGCGGTGGTAATGGTAATGGAGGCACAGGTGGTGGCTCCAATGGGGGATCACCAGGCGGCAATGGTGGTTCTCCTGGTGATGGCTCTGGGAACGGACCAGACAGCGGCAACCCGGAAGGAAACGGTGGCCGACCTGGCCCCGATCTTGGTGGTGATGGCTCTTCTACTGTTAGCGGTGGTGGAGATGGTGGCGCAGCTGTAACCTCACCACCCGCAGGTACTGCTACCCGCTCGGGAGCTGGCAATCTTCCAGGTTCGACAGCATCCAGTGCTGACGCCAGCGACGACGCACCCATTGTCAACCCTGGCCCTGGCACGACTGGTACTGATGGACTCTCAGCTTCGACCACCAGCATTCGAGGTCGTCCCGATGGTAATGGTGGCTCAACTGGTTCAGGTGACGGTGGTGGCGACTCTCCCACTCAAGTCTCGACTGGAGCGGCGGAGACTGATGCTGCTACATCTGATGCAGGACCTGTCGTCAACCCTGGTGAGCCTACTACTGACGGAAGTGGCATTTCGGCTTCTGGGACCGGCATTTCGGCTTCTGGGACTGGTACTTCAGCTTCTGGGACTGGTGCCACTGGTACCGGTGTTGATGGACAGACAGAGACAGCCTCCACTACTCGAGACGCAACCGTAGAGCCAACGGAAACGACACCATGCTCCACAGACGATGATTGTCTTCTCAATGTCGCTCTCTGTGTTTTCAACGGCTTCAACATTTGTACTTGCGTCGATGGAGTCTGCACGCAGCAGCCCGGAGGTCCTGAAGGATCAGGTGTCAGCGGCTCCGACCTTGGAACTGCAACTACAGGCAACGGAGAGCCGACTGGTAGTGCTGGGTCGACAATTACCGATGGTACTGGAGAGACTGCTACTACAACGGGAGAACCCGCGGCTACATCGACAGTATCGTGTTCGACAGATGATGACTGTCTGGCCAATTCTGTCTTTTGCTCAGATGGCTTGCTCAATCTATGCATCTGCGTGGATGCCATTTGTGTTCTTGACCCTACTTTGGCTTCAACCACTGATGCCAACAACGGACAGACGACCACCGTCCAGGATGCTACCACCACCGATGGAGAAGCAGCCGCTACCTCATCAGCCGTTGCTTGCGATACAGGCGCTGACTGCGCTGTCAATGTTGACCTCTGTATCATCGGAGGGCTCAACCTTTGTGTTTGCCTCAACGGAGTCTGCGTTGCTGATCCAGACGGTCAGGAAACGACCGCTGCGAACCCTACTGCGACGAACACTGGACCAGGAGCTACTCCAACTGCAGTAGCTTGCTCTACGGCTGATGACTGCGCTGTCGATGCGGATCTGTGCCTCGACGGACTGATCAACCTCTGCGTCTGTCTCAACGCCGTCTGCGTTAATCCTGGAGGAGGCAACGATCAAACAACTACAGAGACTGGGGCTGGGGGAGGACCTACTACAGCGCCAGTGACCTGTACTACAGCTGATGACTGTGTCGCTGATGCTGGTCTCTGCTTGGACGGCTTGTTGAACCTCTGTGTTTGCCTCAACGCTGTCTGTGTCGTAGCAAACCCTGGGGGTGATCCGACTGAAACAACTGATCTGCCGCCTGAGAATACAAGAACGCCATGCGCCACCGACGTCGACTGCACAGCTAACACTGCGCTCTGTCTCGACGGTTTGATCAACATTTGCGTTTGCCTCGAAGGTTTATGTATCGCCAACCCTATTGTGAATCCCACGGAAACAACCGCTCCTGCACCAACCGAGACTGCTACAACTTCATGCAACACTGCCGACGACTGTGCCGCGAATGCTGGTCTTTGCTTAGACGGTCTCCTCAATCTTTGCGTCTGTGTCAATGCCGTTTGTGTACGACCACCAGACGGTGGCGGTAACAATGGCGACCCCTGCACTGACGACACTGATTGTACTGCTGCCGGAGCTATATGCCTCGATAGTGGTGTTTGTGGACCTGATCCAGGAAACACACCAACTTCCTGTACTACGGCAGACGACTGTACTGCCAATGCGGCTCTCTGTCTGGATGGCCTACTAAACCTCTGTGTTTGTCTCAATGCTGTCTGTGTACCAGCTGGCAATGGAGGCGGGGATGGTGATGTTTGTACAGATGATACAGACTGTACTACAGCTGGTTCTATTTGTCTTGACAGCGGTGTCTGTGGACCTGATCCGGGCAACAACCCAACTTCATGCACTACAGCCGACGACTGCACTGCCAACGCCGCTCTCTGTTTGGACGGTTTGTTGAATCTCTGCGTTTGTCTCAATGCTGTTTGTGTGCAAGCCGGTAATAACGGCGGGGACGGCGATACCTGCACAGATGATACTGACTGTACTACGGTTGGGTCTGTCTGTCTTGAAAGCGGCGTCTGCGGACGTGATCCAGCTTTTTGTACTACGGCAGACGATTGTACAGCAAACCCTGGCCTGTGCCTCGACGGACTTCTCAACATCTGCGTTTGTCTCAACGCGGTCTGTGTGCAGGCTGGATAATACTGGCGATACGTGCACCGGCAACGCTGACTGCACCACCGAAGGAGATGTATGCACCAACGGCGTGTGTACAGCAGCATGAGGCGGAGGCACAGACGCTTGCGTTGACGCCAACGATTGTCTCCTCTCAGTCAATCCTCTTTGCGCTCTCGGTCTTTGTGTCTGTGTTGATGCAGTCTGCGCTACGTCTCCCGACGTTGACGAGTGTACCTCCAACGCAGGCTGCAGCACTGGAGCTACATGTCAAAATGGCGTTTGTGTTGACAATACCGATTGCACTGGTGCCGCAGATTGTCTCGCTAATCTTGATCTTTGTGTTTTGCCGGGGGTTTGCGCTTGTGTCAATGGTGTTTGTGGACTTGTTGGTAATGGACCTGCGCCGGAGTGTGCTGCTGCTGCGGATTGTCGAACTCTCCCAAGATGTCGTCTAGGATTGTGTCTCTGTGTGGCTGGGCAATGTGTTCTTGGGTAATGGAGATGACGATTGGAGCTGGTGCGGTGATGGTTATATTCATGTATTTTATTTCGGTGGTTCGGTCTACATGTTTTAATTATTATTCTAATTTCGATTCTTTCTACAACAAATGCCGCTCCAATGCCCGCAATTCTAACGCGCTGCTGTATGTCCTTTGTTCCCAACACACACACCATGGCTTACGCTACTTGTTTCGGTCCATCTGGATCTTCCTTTGTAATAAGTACACTTTCATGATATATTCGAAACTCCAAATACTTGTAATGCCCTGTATCTGTTGTTAAAATCATGGAAAGCCAGCTTCAGGGTAGCGCTCTTTTGTTACTGGACACGATTATTTATTCATCGATCCGAGGCTGCATAAATGGTACTAATCTGTGGATTTTTCGTAATCTCAGCTTCCGACCCATCATGAATAATTATGTAACCCTGAATTTGAACCCCTTGGGTAGCGTCGGCAAGGAACACTGGAAAGAGAACGGCGTATTTTGTATCAAAAATACTAAGAAGCCATACCGTAGATGCTGCAAGATATAAACAATAATGTTTCAATTATGTCTTGTTGAAATACCTGAACAGTGTTAGGGACATGTTGGTACAAGTCTCCCCCCATCCCCTCCACCAAGGAACAGTAGCGCATAATCACTATGTACCCGATCTCTGCTAGCCCTGTCGTCTATCTATGAGATCTTTAGATTCACATGTCGTAAAACGAGCTAATAGGTGGTGCAAAGTATTAGATATGTGACAGCACGTGCGAAGAGAAATGATCAACCTCAAAGACGGGGTGACGTGGAGTCGGGGAGACGGGAATTGTAGCTACCAGTGTGACCCCTCATGTGGCTTAATATCATGGAAAAGCCGCACGGTGTGTGAATGGAGTCGATATCCGGAACGAATCCGGGGCCCCTGACTTGCCAACCCCGGGCCGAACAACTAGTTGGGTGGATATCGAGAGAGCACACTGAGCCAGTGCTATCGAAAGGAAGAGCTTTTCCTTGATATAACACATTTTCCTAGACCCCATAACCAAGAGCAACGCAGCATGATTGTGTGCAATCCATTATCTGGCGCAAGTCTCCAGTTCACAGCCTGTCAGAGCTGACGGAAGGTTGAAGCTATAGTCGCGCGAATCAGGAAGTTTATTCTCCTGCTAAATGCATGTAGGTGGCACCAATACTTCATAGGCTTAGTTACTTTCCCTTGTTGCCTTGGAAAGCTTCCTTTTACGAACTTGGCCGGCAGGGTCGGACCATTTTCTCAGTCGGGGAAGACACTGCATCCGCCAACCTGAAGACTTGAATTTCAGGGCAAGACTGAGGCCATTAGATGAAGTCTGCTTTAATCTCAGAATACAATTCCCTTTCATCTCTTGTCGTGTTGTAACTTGGGCAAAGCGTTCAACCTAACATCTAGCATTAGTCCGGTGGTTGCTCCGCTGCTGGTGTTTCCCCTAAGTGGAACTACTAATTTGCCTCGGAAGAATGGTGGGTGCTACTGTTGACTTCATTCTCTCTCACCTCATTCTATCACCGCTAAAACCAGGAAATCCCGGTCGCCGTGCTCCTTGCCTGAGGCTTATGTATTTTGAAGTGTCCAACGTACTGAGTAAAGGGGCCCTGATCAACTCGTAATGGTTGAGTAATTACCAGTAATCTCATCGTTATAATGGCTTCAAATATGGGCGGGCCCGTACAGCAAACGAGAAAAAGCCGCCGCAAGCTTCAATCTGGAAACTTATTTGCCAATATGTCTTACTCGATCCGGTATTTCCTTTGGGCTCTATCGTATCGGTTCGTGGTGGTGTGGTCGGGATCGGAACGCATTATCGGAGTGTATTGGTGTATCGATATTGATGAAAAGCCCCTTTCATTTTGATATAGTTTGTTGCTTTGCCCTTCTAGGATCTTCCATCTTTCACTCCAAGCTGATTGCTTGGAGCAATTGTCTTTTATGTTCCTCTTTCGACATTCGGTATCGTTTGGAATTTTGTTGCGGGATCGGTGATGAACTGCGAATACGTGTGAATGGAGTCTCATTGAGCTACCTGAGCCTAATCTAACTGTAAATACATACACACACAAACACATTTTACAACGAAAGAAAGATCACTCCAGTCAATAGGAGGAAGTGAGCGTCTTATAGACCGACCTGGTCATCTCTTTACATAGAAGTTACATCATTAGCATCAGGTGGTCTGTGTATTTCGCGGTGCACGGGTCGCAAGGAAGGGGGGAGCAAAGGTCACGCTGAGGATCCATAACGCGCAAAGACGCGCTCAAAGCCAAATAAAATATCAGACACAATAGGGAATGTCGCAAGGCTATCGTTAGCAAGAAACATTACTTCGGTTTGTCATATATGATGTTCAAGTTTGGCTTGAGAGATACCAACATGATAGTGAAATTATCGAGTTCTTCTGCCAGCTTGGTGGGTGTGGCCATAATTACAAGGGGCATGAACTTGACCCTGAGAACAGCACTTGGCATTGGGTCTCTACCTGACATGGCTGTAAGTTTGTCCCCTCGTATTTCTTATCGTCTGGCTGGCCTGGGTCGAGGCTCTGTGGATGAGAGCAGGAGTACAAGACTTCTCTGTTCCTTTTCTTCAAGGGACAATTCACACTGTTCATCAGAGATCTAGCGATTGGCCGATAGCTCAATGTATTCCTTACACATCTTTCATGGCCTTGCAGAGGTCCCGGTACACAAGCCCAACGTATGTTGAGGAGCACCAACTAAGTGGCACTGCGCTCACAATAGTTTTCCAACAGTGACTTCCCTGCTTGGTTACTTATTTTACTTACCATTGGGTGCCACATGAATGACATCTTATCCAGAAGTAATGTAGTGTAACTACGATTGTTGCTCAACATGTTGTTCATGTTGACCAGCTGGACCTGATGACGCTGTGCTTGTCTTGTGAGACATGATTTGTAGATCTTACGTGCTAAGGTGTCCGAGAATTATGATTGGCTACGGAGTCACGGTCCGTGTCACAATGGTTGGCTATATCCAAGAGCGGAGGCCATGTCCGATTGGCCAAAAACTGTAATAACCGATCTCATCGCTTTCTGTAACAAATACAGGCTACGGTTGCTGTTGAGCTAGGTCGGTGCGGTCAATTGTGCACTTGCGCTGTGCACATTATCACTCCATCTCGATTTGATCCCAGTAAAATTGGTCATGATTGAGATGATGCGTACGCGTTTCGATGCCCATCGAGGCAAAATGTCTTTTGTTGTGTCTAGTGATGCTGTCGCGTTCATTGTTTCTGTGTAATCGAGTCGAGCTGGCGGTGGATGACAGAGACCATGGCATGGGGCGTCGGAGAACTCTCCGTTGTCGGTCCATACTGGAAACAGAATAGAACAAATGATCTGTCGGGGCTGAACGTTGCCCATTTAGAGTTGGCGAAAGTATGTAAGATTGTTGGTGACGGAACGAGAACATGCATGTCTGTGATCTGTGATTGCGCTACCATTCCGCTCTCAGTTGGAGTGTCTTTGGGCTCATCAATAGCCTAACAAGCTGTAGTGGTCTCCGAGAATTAAATTCCTGTGGCCCCCTGATCCTGCAAATCGAGTCAGCGCGATGATATTTCCGGGGACCGTTGTAATTGTGGCTTTTCAGCCCAGCCAATCTTTGCGTGAGGGTCGCCTCCGGGCATCGAATACTGAGAGGACCTTTGACCATTAAAATCCCTTGGGGGATCCAAGTGGCGAGAAAAGAGTTCAACGTTCGGCATTGTGGACAGACAAGAGACGAGACAGCGAGGCATACGAACGTTGGGTCTCTGGGCGGTTCTCGTGCTATGACATTGTCATTTTTTACGGTCGGATAAGGTGATAGAGGCCAGATATCACGACATGATTCGATTCAAGGTGACAAGTAATACAAGCAGTAGAGCATAAATTTCCATGTGTCAATTGCCATTTAATTAGCGGAGCCAGTCAAGTCCATTGGCCTCTTACTGCGATATCTCCCAACGCCATTTGAACATGTCAATCCCATAAAATTCGCAGGAAAACAAGTGGGTGTAAAATAAAAGGAAAGAAAAAGAAAATCAAGAAGTGCAAGATATCATCCCATCGTATTCGATATCTTCTTTGGGTCTGGCAAATCACAATGACTCCTCCGCTGCAATTTAATAAATAAGCCATTTAGATCGCCGACCGAACCTTTTATCGTATCGACTCGTCATAATCATCGTCATCGTATCTTATAATCATACATAGATGCCTCTCTCAATCGTGCTGGTTGTATGCGCAAAGCGGCGGGGTCGCGTGGTTTTGTTTTCCATCGCCCAGGTCTTGAATATATCGATGGGCTTCATTCGCAATGTAGTTTTGGATCAAGTGACATTCGCAGTCGGTGTGCTGCAAGAGTTTCATCTTGAGTTCGTAGACCTGCATCGTGAGTTCGGACACGCAGCTTGACAAGTCGCGGTTTGTTCTCTCCATCTCTTTTTCGTCGGCTCGAAGCTTCTTGGCGTCTTCACGCTTCTTGACGCGGAATTTGTTGGA